TGGTTCTCATGCATATAAATATTACAGTATTTGTTTATAATCCTGCATTAGTAAAAGGCTAAGAGTGTAATATGTCCTCATTATTAGAAAAGCTAAATTTTGCCTTACATTAAAATCTTAAGGTTAATTACTTATTCCTGCTGATGTGAAATGTAGTGAAATAGAGAGTTCCAAATTTGTTCCAGTAAGAACTTGGCTGAGCAAGTTTAAGTTGGGACAGACATCACCAGTTCTAGGGTATAATGACATAAGTAGATACAGCATAGTTCAGTGAAAATTTGTGGAAAATGTGAATAAAAAAGAGCCAGTTATTCAAATTTTAGGACTAGGAGTCTGTTTATTTTTCTATTAAGAATAAAGAAAGGACTGGATGTGTGGCTTAAGCAGTGGAGTGCCTGCTTTGTAAGTTCGAAGCCCTGAGTTCAAACCCTAGTCCCACCAAAAAAAGAAAGATAATAAATAAAACATTTCTAGAATATCTGAAATTGAAATTAATATTAAATATACTCCTTTCTAACCTGTGACCTAATTTTGTTTTAGACGTTAACTTGAATATTAAGGAACTTGACTCTAAGGCTCGGGATTCTTAAATAATAGCTAGATAGTTCAGTGGCATTTCTTCCAAAGACTTAATTGAAAAGACCAAATGAATATGAGTTCTTTTGTGTGATTAAAAGGATATAGATTGGTTAGGAAAGATGCAGGAAAAAAATGTTGAAAAATACTAATGCCTGAGTCCATCTTCAGAGATTCTGATTTAATTAACCTGGGTGAAGGATTCGAGAATAGGTGATTAAAAAACAGGCATTTTTAATGTCAAGTATAAGAACTATTGTCATAGGCTGGACACAGGGCTCAAACCTATAATTCTAGCTACCTGGAAGGCTGAGATTGGAAGGAGTGTGGTATAAGGCCAGCCCTGAACAAAAAGTTCACTAAACCCCATCTTAATCAATAAAAGCTGGGCACAGTGGCGTGCACCTGTCATCCCAGTTACCAGGGAAGCATAAATGGAAGGATCTTGGTCCAGACTGACTGAGACATAAAGAGAAACTTTAAAAAAATAACCAAAGCACAAAGGACTGGGGGCATGGTTCAAGTAGAACAGTGCCTGCCTAGTAAGCACAAGGCCCTGAGTTTAAACCACAGCAGTACCAAACCCCCCCCAAAAAACCAAAAACCAAAACCAAAAACTGACTGGCATAGAATATGATAATATAGGGGGAGGTCACAGGCTATCACATAATTTCTAGGATCATGCTTGAATATTGTTTCTTGAATTGGTGGAACTATGTCGATGCTGCTTGATTCTTAGAAGAGAAAAAAAATAGAGAATTAGAGAAGTTGGACTTTTTAATTGAGAGAGTTTAAGGCTTCCCAGAGGAAGAAAAATAAAAATTAATTTTAAGGAAAATCAATGATTATACACATTCCAATAAATAATATTTCTAATTTTAATTGCCCATAGCAAGAAGTAACCTGTAGTAGACTAGTGAGGTTATAGTTCATTTATTTAAAAATTTTCTTTTAATCTCTATGATTAAATGAAATGAAATATTTAACCCAATATAAATTACTTGAACAACACAATTTAAAATAATTCTGAGAAAATTAAAGTGCATTAATACTGTTGAGTTATTAATCTACACTTATCTATAGTATAGATGACCCAGGTCATCATTCTGACGTGAAGTTAGTTTCTATCTCTTAGAAGGGGGTCCATACTAAATAAGATAGGAATTTTAATAATGAGAACATTGCCATCAGTGGTATCATGAGTGAGAATCATCCAGATGTGAATAATCTTATGGCTGTAATATTTAAATCAACACATTGAAAAATATTTGTACATTTTAGTTCTTACAGACTTTATATATTTGAGAATAAACATTTCCTGAAAAGCTATCTAAACATTATCAATATAAAAATTAGCAATGATTGAGTGCCAGAATGAATTTTTAATACAATGCTCTTGAGCTAAACCACATTTTTCTTTATAAATATATATTCTTCATGTTTAGAGGAATTGGTAATTCTTTTTGTCTGGTAGGAATTGATTTGGTCACTTTAAATTTGTTATAAGGATTGGTAGATAAATGTTACTCTATAAATCAAGCATAATTATTTCTGTAAAATGTTTGAAAAAGCCCCATAATATTTCATCAAGAATTATACAATATTTGAAGTTGGGTGAATAACTATGTAGTAATGCTACATACTTAGACTTATCCTATCTAATATTTTCATCAATGAACTGAATAATGATTTAGTTATTAGATGAGCTATAACATTTAACAACTTCTAAAATATCCATTGAACATCCACAGTATCCAAGGGGGTTTGTGAATATCAAGAAGGATTTGTCAATTTAATTGAGTTAAGATTCAAAAATGACATTGTTACATTGAAACTGGATCATAACTAGAAACATTCTTAATCTTAGTTCAAATAATCTTATTTTTAAAGGTGGGATGGTAGCTATCTTGCTAGATTATTTGTTCATGGGAATAAGATGTAGAGTTTTGCTTAATCAGGTCTTCAAGACAGGTGAAAATCATGATGGAGTAGCTTGATGAACTAATGCAAAAAATACACTGCTTTAAAGATATCACAGCCCCTATAAATGGTAAGAACTCATTCAACTATTGACTAAAGTCTGAGCACCTTGCCCAAAACAGATCCTTGAGAACTGGAAAATGCTCAGAGATAGTGTCTTAAAACAGCGGTGCAACAGTTAATAGTATATTATTTAAAATTATGATAAGCAAAAGGACTAAAAATTTAAAAATTTAAAATGTTTACCTTGGGGAGAATAATAAATGAAAAGGAGAAAATACAAGCAATTCTTCTTTCAGCAGAAAGTTGCTGTATATTTGATTAAAATATGTAATATACACACAATAGTATTACTTCTTGTTATGGAGGAAACTACAATGTACGAAGAGTTAAAGAAACCCATCTTCAAGGACAGGGTCTGAGTGTACAGAGATATAGGTTGGGATAAAAGCCCTCTGATGCTATTTTATTCTATGCATTGGACACCACCTACTATAGTTTTTCAAAAGTACATAGATCTAGATGACTATTTGCCTTTGAACAAAACATGGAAAAAAACAAAGTGAGAGAGAATCAATAGGCTACCATGGTGGAGGGAGTAGGATTTGAAAAGTGATATTAAGATGGTTGAAGGAACTGGGATTATTTACCCAGGCTTAGGAGGTTTAGGAGGAGAGTTATACAGATGTGGTAAAAGAGGGTGAGAGAGAACCAGAAGGGAATGTCTTTGGCTGACCATATTAAACAGTTAATGTAGGAATTCCTATTGTGTAGAGTCCCAGATCCTTGATATATGTGTGAGACATGCATGTCTGTGTACCCAAAGAATTTGTACGTAAAATTGTGTGCATATATGAGTAGATGCACTTGGAGAGGGGGACAGAATTATCATTTTAAGCAGATTTTTTTTTTTCCAAAGGAGCATGTCATTTGAAATAAGATCTATGAGGTTGCCTCTGTTTTGGGGTCAGAAGCACTCAATTGGAAACTTTCTTTCATAGACAATGTAGAAATAATGCTCACAGTGCAAAGGTAGACTACTTTGCTTAAAGGAGTCCTTTTGATTCTAATGTTTGAATATTAACAGAAGAGGAAAATAAAACAAATGTTAACACTGAAGAACATTCTTTGAACATTTACTGCATTGTGTTAAATGTTTGACACAGGCTCCAATTCTTATAGCACTGGATGAGGTGGGTACTGCATTAAAAACTCAGAGATTAAAAAAAAGAACAGAACACTTGCCGGAGATCACCCTACTAGCAAGGAATAGGGAGTATGACCCAGGTTTTCACTATCTTCATTCTAACTTCTTATTAGCCTCTGTTACTTCTGCTCCACTACTGATGGTCCAACACTTGCACCTGCAAGGCTGTTCTTTCTGTTTTCTTATCAGTATACTTAGTGTGACTCATCCTCACTGGAGTTAAGGGAGCTACGAAGGAACGAACGAACAGGGAAAACAATTATTTAATTTCTGTTGAATTTAAAGCAAGCTTTCTTGTGGGTAAAGATTCAGTGTTTGTCTTCTATAATCTATTGATAAATGCATGTCATTTACATATCTTGATTACACTGAGTAGTATCTTTAGTTTATTTGAACCTGATTTCACTTAATGACAGTTCTTTTACTTCACCAAAAACACATAAATATATAAATGCAGGGAGAGGGAGAGAGAGAGAGAGAGAGAGAGAGGGAGAGAGAGAGAGAGATTTGTATTAGTCTTTCATTGGTGGTTTAACAAATGTGTATAAATTCAGTAGCTTGAAACAACACCAATTTACAGTGTGTTATGTTCTGCAGGTTGTAATTCTGATACAGCTCTCTAGGACTAAACTCAAGGTGTTAGCAGGTCTATGTTACTTTCTGGAAGCTCTGGGGAGAATTCCCTTTCCTGCCTTTTCCAGCTTCTTGGGTCACAGCTCTTTCTCCAGCTTCATAGTCAGCGACACTAGGAAGAATTCTCACACTGCATCACTCCAATCTTTTCTGCCTCCATCTTCCACATTTAAAGACCCTTGTCATTTCAATGGATTCACCCAAATAATTCAGGATCATCGTTGTATCTTAAATTTCTTAATATAATCATACTTACAAAACTATTTTTGCCTTGTAAGATAACATATTCACAGCTTCTGGGGAAGACACTGTGGGTATTTTCGAAGAATTATTTTAACTATCATAAGTTCTTGCTAAATGCTAAGTCCTGTTCTAGAGACTGAGTTAAACACAATGCTCCCCTTGAAGAGCTTACAATTTAGGATCTATTTAACAGACAACTGGCATGCAAAAAGACGTGTGCTATGACAGAAATATGAGCCATTTACAACATTGGGGAGGAAATGACTGTCTGCCAGGGGTCTACAGTGAGCTAGTAAAATGTTGGCTAAAAAATTAGAGCTATCTTTGACATATTTATTTGATTTTATCATTTCCCATCCAGGTTTTGAGGCTCTGGGATATTCAGTACCAGCTGTCCATCCAGAGGATAGCCTGTTCTTTCCCCAAAAGTCAGGACTTCAGATGCCTTTTCCACTTTGATGAAACCCATGGACGACTTTTCATCTCGTTAAGTAATCAGCTAGCATTATTGGCAATGAAAAATGAAGACAGTAAGAGGGTGAAAAGTCATGCAAAAGCCATCACTTGTGTTCTTTACAATTCACTCTTGAAGCAGGTAACATAGCTTTCTTTTCTTTCCCTGTCCTAACACACCCCCACGTCCAGAAGCTCATTTCTGTAGCTCAGTCTAACATAAACTGGAGATGAATCTACAAAAAGCAAATGTGGGGAGGAAATGATTTAACAGTCATGTGCTTCTCTGCAATAATGTGTGTCCAGGTGGATTAGAACAGGGATTTTATTCTCAGCCAGTGACAGCTGTAGCACTGATAGAGTTATAAGGAATTAGAACGTTCTAGCTAAGACAAACACAACGGGCAAGGTAAATGAACTTATCTTTGTTAACTGCTAGTTTGGGTCTTGAGCCAAATGCAGGTGAACCTGGTTGTAAAATTCTCTTTTATGAATGCCATCCTCCTGTATCCCTGTGGAAAGTTCTGAAATATGCATGAAATGTAATTAGCAGAGATCCATTTTGCCAGCATATTTTACACCAGTGGCTCACGGTGGCAGCTTCGTTAATGTATTCGTAATAAAATGATTCAGTTAAATGTGATGCCACTTGGTATGCAGCACGGGTGTTATTTGTCTCCCCACCACTTCAACGATGCTCTACAGCCTTTGCTTATGGGAGCGTTACCTGCATGTCAAAGAAGCTTGGCTTCCCTGGAGCAGAGATGCCACACAGACTGCAGCCCTTTTTAGAGGACAGGAAGGTCCAGCCAGGGAAGCTGGCAGCTCAGGGTGTAGGGTCTGGTGGAGGGAGTGAGCACGGTTAGTCAGCTGCAATGATCACCTCAGGCCTGATAGGAACAGCACAGCAGGAGCCGAACAGAAAGCAAGTCTCCAGCTTGCGGCCAATTAAACAATAACTGCAGCCCATGCTTTCTTTTCCTGTCGGTGGAAGCTTCTACATTCGCACAGAAATGAGTAGTTCAGATTTTGTGCAAGGGGTGGAAAGCTCTTTGTTAGTAATGAGTAGTGTGTCATGTCACTACTTCAAACACTCTGTTTTCCGGTTATTCTAGGAGATAAAACCTTTTACAAAACAATCCATTTTGAATTCCATCTGTGGGGAAACATTCCTCCGCAAATGTTTTATTGAACTTTATGAAGGCAACCGGTTAATTTGGCTCCCTGGTGGCCATGGAGAGATGTATTTGTTTCCAAGAGAACATTCTGTTAATTGAGATCTGCAGAGTTAAAATGATGGGTTTTGTGTGTATATGTTACAATTCCATGTTGCCTGGCCATAAGATGAATAGTATTCCATGAGGAATTCAGGAAATGAGACACAAAAACCATCTGGAATCTTCTACTCGGGACATGAGGATAAAACCACGGTAACACAAAGACAAGAAAGTTACAGGAGACAAAAGAAGATGCACATATGGTAGATAACGTGGGAACTCTCACTACAATCGAGGACACCGCTACTTGTTGCTGTTAGTAGCAGAAATAATTAAAAGCATATATATATATGTATATATATAACACAGAACTGTGTATCACACACATCCACCTTTTCTATTAGGTGCTAAGCTATAGAGAATATTCAATATTATATTTAGAAGAAAGTACTGCAGAGAAGTACAAAGAAAATAATAATAACCACAATCCCATTGGACAGTGATAACTTCTTATTTTAGAATAATTAGACAAAGCAAATAAAACAGTTTTGAACAAGTATCAGGTGCCAGGAATGAAGAATTAAGATTAATAAATGTTCATTTCTTTCCCCATGTAGCTCAGGGAGACTCAGCTCTTCAAGGGTAGGTCCAGGTCCAGCCCCCAGTGCTCTTTGGTTGGCTGATAGTCATTTCAAGACTGGGGAATGAGAGAAGGGAAGGCAGACACTTCACTAACTCACATGAAAACAACGGAATGCAGCAAAATGAAGTAGAAGTAAAAGGAAAGTACTCTTCATGAAAACTGATCAATTTTGCCTGGGGCTGGGACAGGCAACATTTCAGCAGAGCCCTGAAAGCCAGAGTGGGGATGCCAGAGAGGAGAAGGTATTAGTTTGACCCAGAAGCTATGACACAGGAAGACGCTTGAGCATTTACTTGGATAGGGTTTAGTTGAGGAGTTCTTAGGCAAAGGATGTGGGAGGTGAGGCAGTAAGGGAACTCAGAGCCTGACTGGGAAGTCATTCACTGAATGTACCACTGTGTGGTCTTAGACAATAAAACGCATTGGAGGTTAAATCAATTCTCACAGTGTGATCCCAGACCTCTGGGAGACTCATATCTTCTTGGGAAATCTGATAGGTCAGACCATTTTCATCACAGTGGAGTTTTCTAGAGATTACATAATGTGTGATGGCATCATTGCTCTGATGGCTAAAACAATGTCTTCTATCGTATTTTAACAGTTAATTGGGTTATATCTGCAATGTGATAAATATATAGCTATATGCACATATATTTATCTATATTATGTATTATATTTATATACACGCAAAAATTAGGCTATTCTGATTCTTCAATAATTGCTAAGAATGTAAAGATGTCCCCAAACCAAAAGTTTTGAGAATTGCTGGGTTAGAGAGATTGGGGTGAAATGCTGGGCAGACCACTTAATCTGCCTGAGCTTCACTTTCCTGCTTTGTGTCCCTCAAGGAGTTAGAGACAATAATGGCCACAAACGTGCCTTTCCAGTAGGTGCCTTGCTAGGGTTGGCCGCTGGCCTATTGGAAGCTGACCTCCTGGCCCTAAAAAGTTCCTCCGGCTCCCCACACATCTGGGGAAGTTTGCTGCCTTATGACACCCTTTTTCTAATTAATTTCTTAGGATTCCTGAATTTTTTTTTTTAACCATGTGATAACAGATGTTCTCAAGTCCTACTTCTCTCATAAATGTCTCTTGTCAGTCCATTGGCTCTTGCTCTTTGACTGTGGAGTTTGATGTCATCTTGAACAAATTCCCTTTGTCTGAATTTAATGAAAATCTTCCTCTTTGTTATTGTCATTTCAGCATGTTGCCCACAGTTCATTATTATTTCATTATATTTGAGCTTCAGTGGGGACCCAATATAATCTCTGCAAAAAAGCAGTTTGGCACATTTCTGTGACTTTTTTTTTTTTTTATCTTCTTGCCTTTCGGTTCCCTACCTCTTAGTCTAAGAAAGTGGTGCTAAATCACACAAGGCCTTTTAAAAGGAACCACTTGCAAGGTCCCCTGGCAGACCTTGCCCTCACAGCCAGCAGCTGAACACGTTGGGACTGGATGAACAAGTCCTCAGAATGTACTTTTTTCAAAGAATTAACGTACTTTAACGTCCTAGAGGCAGTTCTGATGAACCATCTCTGCAGTGACTTCTTAAATGAAGCTTTTCTTAAAAACCCATGAATGTTAGGAAACTTTTAAAAAATATACTTCTAGCTGCCATTATATGGTAAAATTTGTTTTATGATTTGTGATTCCCTGCCTCATGATGTAGGTTTGCTTGTTTTTGTAAAACATATTATTTCAGTTTGTTTTGCATCTTGAACACATTTATGTTAAGCTATTGAGATGCCATCAAATTTTGATATAATCATATTTACTATTTCTATTGGAGTATTTTTTGTAAAGCATTGCATGTAAACAAACATTACATGTTTATTATAAGAAATTAAAACCATGCAGTGGAGCTCAGATAAGGAACTAAATATTGCTGAAATTTCATCAAGTTCTAAAATCTTCCTGTGCATAAACTATTTCACATAAATATGGTTCTGTGATCTACCATTTTATTCAGTTATACAGTGGAGTATATTTTCTTACACCTAAAATACATCTACTTCATTATGGCATCTCATTGTATTATAATTTACTGATCAGTTTCGTTTGATGGATATTTTGCTTTTATGAATTTTTGTATATAAATTTAAGTACAAATCCATATATATATATATATATATCCATATATATATATATATATATATATCTGAAGGGTAAATTCTTGGGATGAATTTCTAGGTTCAAGGATATGCATATCAGATATATTGTCTGACCCATGAACTGCCTACAAGAATTTTTCTATTTTATCCGACCTTTGAGAATAAATACACTGGCCACATGCATAGTTACCTGAATTGACTTGTCCAACAGTGTCTGTTCTAGTAGAACTCCTGAGACCCTTGGTAGGGTTCCCATAATCTAGCTTGAGATGTTTACAGATTTGAAAACTGAACCATCATACCTTATCCAGAGATGTGCTATATTTGAGGATCGATTCTCACTCTATCACAAGATACCTAATTTCAAATCCTCCATTTAAAATGGGACCATGTGTCCTGTCTTCTTTTATACATACCATTTTTTGGGGGAGGGGATTGAGGTATTTAAAAATACAAACAATTCATTCATTAGTTCCCTTGGTAATTGTAAAATCCTAGGAAAGAAATGAGAATAGAGTTGAGGGAAATTTATGTCCATCTTACAAGACAGTCCACCTATTTAGTGCTTGTATCTGGAACAAAATCAATGAGATTCTTTTTTAAACAGAACTGGGTGAAGACTAATGAAAATTTTTTCCTTTCCTACTTTATTGCTGGGCTCCAAGTGATACCTCTTCTGTTAGTACAGCTTTTCATCATTGGCCATATCAGTTTTGAAGCTGTGTACTCTCATCATTTGATGGACATATAGGAAGTATGCTAGTCTTACAGATTATACCAAAATACACACACACACACGCGCACATACATGAACATGCACATACATTCTTGTTTGCTTATTTAATGCAATTAGTTTGTGAGAAATGAAATGATATGTTTAGTTTACATGTTGCAAAATTCAAAAGGACAAAGAGATACATAGTGAAAATGTCCTGAGATAACAGTGAGCTGTATCTTACCTTCTTTTCTTGGAGGCATACAGTTTTATGAGTTGGACCAGCTATATAAGTGGACTTAAATATATTCTTTTGAATAGATATGTAACATTTAATAAATCTAAATATTTACTAATATATGTTAGTTAAATGTTTTTTACACAAACAATAGCCTGGTTCATTTTGAATCACTTCCCTCACCTGCTTAAGCCTTGTGGGCTTCGTTGTCAATCTGATGCCTTCGCGTCGCTGTTTACTGACTGGAATTCTTTTCACTCAGTATCTGCATGGCTCACTCCCTCATCTCACTCAAGTCTTTCCTCAAACGGTTGTTTAGGGAGGCTTTCATAGACTGATTTTGAAGCCATCTACGGTACTGTCTGTTTCCTTTTCTGCTATGTTTTTCTCCATAACTCTTGTCACCACCAAATATCATTTTTGTTATCTGGTTGCATTTCTCCCTCTCCCTTCCCCTAAAACATAAGGCATCTGTTATTTCACTGCCTTATCCCCAGAGCTTGGCATAATAAAGTGGTCAATAAGTCCAAGGGATGAATTTGAAAGACTAAATTACAATTTAAACTAAGATGGGGTAAAATGTGATAAATAAAATTTATATATGGAGAATAGCTGTCTTAAAATATTTGAAACCTTCATCTGTGGCAGTACTCTGAGGTATATCATTCCCCTCATCTCCCTACTTACTGAGATGCAACTTCCAGAGATTTCATACAAAATGTAAATAAAGGAAGCAACCTGCTTTATATTATGTGACCATGAATAGCACTGACTAAAAAACATAAAATCATAAACAGCAATTAAATCAAATGTCTCCAGGCCCTGGTAATCAATCACATCTGTTGCTGTAATTTTTGATTCCAGCTCTTGTTTAGAGGAAGGATTTGGGATGCATATAAAAGACAAATTGCAAGCCTATTATTGTTGGAATTACAAGAAGACAATTAGGTGACATGGATACAGTCCCACATGTCTTGAGATTGTCTGATTAGCCATGACAGCTTCAGATGAGAGGGACAAAAGAACTCATCTATTCCTACACAGTTATTAACTCTGGTGCATAAAATGGAGCATGTTTTGTCAGAGGCACAATTTACTCATGAAGCCTTTGTCTCTGGAGTGTGGTGATTTAGGACAGTGCCACTTCTGCTCTGCAGACTGTCAGGGCCCCGTCCTTGTTGGCTGAGGTGTGTTCTGATAACAGCCAGCCAGGAATGAGCTACACAGTTTAAGGGATTTAGTATCATCAAAACGTAGCATATGTGTTGCCAATATTTATTCCTGGACTTTATTACTGATAAAATAGCCTAAAATAAAGCTCCATTGTTCTATAGTGGAACCAGTGCCATTGGCCAAATGACATTAAATGCATGCCTCTCTCACTGAACTTCAAAGTCTTTTCATTTTCATTGTTATTCTTATATTCCAATATTGTCATAGTAAGGGTAGATTCTAGTTGACAGTGGTTGTTTGTGACATAGTCATTTTCATCTGTTGCTTTCCTCCAGACAACGTCAAAAGGCAGAGTACCATGAAATGAAATCAGACTGGTTATATGCTGTTGTTACTATTGATTCAGATTTCATCAGAAATTGTTAAATGAGCAGAGAAAGGAAATGAAAATTGATGTATAAGTACATTGGGCCCAGCTAGTTGTATAAGGGGGAAATTGTAAAGCAACAAAAAGTGAACTTTATTAGTTCTTTGTTTTTTTTTTTTTTGTGAGATTGGGGTTTTGAGTGAACTTCCCTAATTCTTGATCAAATATCTACATTAGATAAAAGTGTTGAAGTCAATAGATGTTTTGGGTGAGACCAGTCTTTGAATAAGTAAGCAAGTCTTTTCTTTGAACATGGCCTGTTCAAATTTTATTCTACTCTTTTTGTTTCTATTTGGGAATGTCCATCTTTTAGAACTGAAATGCCTAGCATATAATAGCTACTAAATAAATGCTTTTTGAAGAGAAATAATGAAACCTTTCATGACCTTTAGTCTTTTCTTAAAAGACCACTGTCAAAATTTTCATGTATGCTTAGAAAGTTGTCTTTTCATGGGTTTGTCTTTAATGAATAGATTCTAAATTCCTAAGCAATTATGTAAGGCATTCATAAGTCTGATAATAATTTGGAATTTCAATGTACATATAAAATCTGGTTTCTAAAATTATAATTGTCAATATTCAATGTAATTGTTAGAAAAAAGCAAGATACTATTTTCTTAAATTGATTTGAATATGAAAAGTGATAAAAAGCCTTACTAAGAGGTCAGACAAATAAAGCTTAGATACAATAATAGCACTAGATAAATTTTATGGGTTTTCTACAGCTATGCCACATATTATGGTATGTGGCATAAAATATTAGCTTTTGTAAACCTCATAGTGAGGTTATGAGCTAGTTACTATGAGTCTGTGTGGCTTATAGATGAAGAAATTGAAGACTAGAGAGGTTAATTAATGTTTCTGACCCTTAATGCTCAAGATCAGATAGTGTGTTGGTGAGGCAGCTGAGCTTAACTCACGTGTCCTGGCTGGAGCATCCTTAACTACTCTGTATAGTGCATAAACACAGAAAACTGGAAACACGGTCAGCTACATGGAATGATAATTAAAGTGTTAAGTCACATTATTTCAAAGATCCAGGTCATTCATCTTAAGAATTACAACATAGTTTAACAATGATAATTAAATATTTAAGGTACTTTTGATTCCCCTGAGAGAAAATATGTAGTATAAATATAGTTTATCATCATTTAAGAAATTCTTAAATGGGTTGTACTTTCTGGGAAAAAAGTTCTAACAGAGCTCCAATGCTTATGATTAGTTCTTTGCTGAGAGATACCTGTTGCTAAATGGTAGCTGCTTTCTTCAGTCTCTCATCTCCTTTCTACCTCTGGAACCTTGCTACATAAGGTGAGAATCTCTTACTTGAACTATTACAGCAGCCTCCAGATGGTCTTCCTGAAACCCCAGTTTGTTCTTTGCGTTACTGTTAGTGGTCTCTTCACAAACTAACCAATAAAAAACTATTGCTCTTCTCATTACAAACATTAGTACTGTTTTAAATCTCTCAGTTTATCCATAGACTGCACTGATCACCAAGGAAATCAATTTTGTACATTCTCAGGAACTGTTTACTAGTGATTTCTAAATCTTCAGCTCCAGCTTGACGCTTATTTCATACCCTACCTTATTTGTCCGTTTAAACACATTGGACTCCAGATTCATTGAACTTATTGTTTCTCATGCTTCAGATATTTTCTAAGTCTTGGTCATGTTTAATAAATCTCTTAATTACCTAATAGAACACTATTTAGCTGACTACAATCAGGGTAAATGATGGTCCTAATCTTGCTTTACAGAGTTTTCGTAAAGACCAAATGAGATAATCAATGTGATGGGAAGCCATTTAATAATACATGTTTTTATCTTCAATCCTGGCTCAGTTACAACCTTCTGTTTGTGACTTGTCCCTCTCTCCTCCACTTCCTAACCCCTATCATCCACCTCATGAGTGGATTTCTGGTTTTGCTTTCTGTGCTCTCACAGAACTCAAGGGTAACCTTTCTAAACCTGCAGCATTATTTGGCATTTCTGTGTTTCTTCTCAGTTTCTTCATTAGCCCAGTGGTTCTTTACTCAGGCTGAACATTTAAATCACCTCTGGAGCTCTTAAAAATATATTGCTTTGTCTAGTTAAATCAGAATTTGTCATCTGGCATACAGCAGTGCTTCTTAAAGTTCCTTGGGTGGTCTTAATGTGCAGGTCTATACTATAGAGTACTTGAAAGCAGGGATTCATTATCCATTTCCCACAGCCATCATGGAGACTAGCAAAGACTGCATTTCATAAATACCTATAGAAACATACATGCTCTCATGATGACCAGCTATCTAGTTCTTCTCAATATATACTTGATAAATTTCAACTCATTTGCTTATCAAAGCACAGCATTCAAATTTATCATATTCTTATTTAATTTACATTTATACAATGATCATTAATACGTAGCAGAAAAATGATTATTTGGTGTTCTCAAAAATCTAGACACAGCTTCAGACAATTTCCTATCAATACATTTATTTATGTGTTTATTCTTTTTCTTTCATTATTTACGTTTCTAATATCATACTAGCTGAGTGGTTTTAACCTATAAATATCTTAAAGAATACCTAAATATCTAGAGATGAAATTAGCAGTCTACTTGTCTATACAAAAGTTTTCATTTGCAGACTTCTATGTGTAATCCTATCTCTTCCAGTATGTTTTGTTGCCTTCCTTTCAAAGTAAGTAGGTTTATATTTAACCCGTGTTCTTTGTTTTTAATATTGATAATTATATGCAGCTATAAAAATATACATAGTACCTTGAACAAATAGAAAGCAAGCAAGGGACTAACTAATGGCATAAAAAGCAAGAGTGCTAGTGATTTGTGGAAATTAACTTTTTCCCAGAATGGTTGGTAGTGCTTCTTTTCTGAATCCTAAATGGAACTTGATGTATAATAAAATGTTTCTTTCATATAACAAATAGTGTCAGGGTCCTGTTACTAGTAAAACATGCTTTCTGATCTAAATGTGAAAGATGTGTGAGTTTATTTGTAGCAGGATTTGATTTCAGGATAGCCTCCAGACACTAAGCTGCATGGTGGGTAAGGGAGGCAGTTCTTATCTTCTCCAATAAAGAGGATCACGACTTCATTACTTTGGCTCTGGACTAGAAATTGAAATGTTACCAGCTTAACAAAAAGAAAGACAATACATTACAAAAATGCCTCTAACTGTTGAGGGGGCTCATTCGTGGAAATGCACAGGCTAGATATTTTTATTGAAAGGAAAATGGTTGGTCCTTGGACTGTATTTAATTTCTCGATGATGTTATTTTCTCCTAGGTAATCAGCTCTGATGTGGGGTCTACTGTTTCCTTCTGGATGATAGACACTGGGCAGAAAATCAAACAGTTTACTGGTTGCCATGGCAATGCGGAAATCAGCACTATGGCCCTGGATGCAAATGAAATGCGGCTTTTGACTGGCAGCACAGATGGGACTGTAAAGGTGCGAAAACAAGGCTGCTTTTCCTATCCAGATATGAGAAGGCTAAAATGCTGTGAGAGGAGACACAGCTGATACAGTCACTAATTTTTGTTTTTGTGGCTTTGCGAGACAAGATGGGAGCTAAATAACTTGAACCATCTAATAACAAAGCTGCTAGGAAAATAAACCTTGGTGCAAAAATGAATAAATGATGTTTCTGAATAAATTATTTAGGATGAACACAAAACTTGGCTTTCTTATTTCAGAAAGTCTTTTTCAGGGTACTGAAAAGGGGAGTACTTTGGGGAATAAGAGGTCTGGATAATTTTCATTGCTTCAACTGATGTCTTCTAGTTTTCTTTGTCTAAATTTATGAAATAAAGAACTAAAGAATTAGGGCAACTTAAATAAATTTTTAAAAATTGCATGGATGCAAATTTTTGGGAAATAAATACTTGAATGTATCTAATAATTTGCATTTTTGCTATGTGACAGTAAGATAGTGAAAAAGGATACTAGAAAGAACAATCATAATCTTGTTTATTATCTGCCCTAAACTAACATTGTCTTATTAATTCAGTTTTCTTATTTTGTATTTATTTCTTCTGGGAGGAAGGTGACATTTTACTTTGCAAAATGATCAAATTTTCATGTGAAGCAAGATATTTGCTATCTGAAATCATGCCCATAAAGTGATCCTTCTCTGTTCATCTCATCCCAGGGAATAATATGACAGTCTTTGATTGGAGTCGACTCAAACACAGTGGGGCAACAGACGGTAGTTCCTTGAATAAACTAAATAATTCTCAATTCTGTTGTAACTGGTGTCAGAAAGATACAAGAAACCTTCCACAGTACTACTATGGTGGAAAGCATGATTTAGTTAAGCTGCTCAGGAGAGTCATAGAAAGCAGCCTGAATATGTAGTTAGAATAGTCTAGGAGTTGGGACAAGCACTCAGGTGTGCATAGCAGGCTGGTAGTAGTGGCAGTAGGTGCTACAGTGAGTGTAAAGTGAGAATTGCTGGAAATAAGTAGATTTGGAAGGCTAAAGATACGAGGTGTAGACCAGAAACTTGGGTTTAAGTAAAAACAACTAATTCGTAAGAGGGCTGGTAAGATGTGTGAATTTGAGGTGAAATAAGAGAGTATCTGATAGTGATTTAGGCAAAAGGAACAAACCAACGTCTCATTTACCAGTCCTGGGGTATGAAACTGGACTCAGCGAAACAAGTGGATTAGATTTTATTTACCTTTTTGGAAGCAATATTTACTTTTATTCATAATCAGAGTATTGTGCAGTAATACAAATATTTTTGAAAATAAATTCTTTACCTAGGGGATTTTATATCCAAGATAATTATTATCAACTTACAGGACCCCAAACTATTTTTATTTATTTATTTTTAAATTTTTATCTTATCATTTTTTCATTTACTTACTTGTGTATACATTATTTGGTCCAACTCACCACCCCCCCACACCTCCAGGCAGAACCTGTTCTGCCTTCTTTTTCTCCAATTTTGTTGAAGAAAAACATAAAAGATAAAAAGAAAAACATAGTGTTTTTGCTAATTTGAGATGAAGATAGCTATACAGGGAGATTCCTTGTGTTATTTTTATGCACATGTGTATTACAACCCAAACTGGTTCATCTCTATCAGACCTCTTCACTTTCTAGTCCCCTTCCCATAGCGGCCTTTGCCAGTTTAAGATTACTATATTCGCTCCTATACATATCAAGTACATTCAAGTTTTTGTCTTCCTTCTCTTTATCTCTCCTGTGCACGGTCTCCCCATAGTGTGTGACCTGTGTCCAATAATATTACTGCATTTGTTTTAGGTCTGCAATCTACATATGAGAGAGAACATGTGATTTTTGTCCTTCTGAGCCTGACTAACTTTGCTTAAGATGATGTTTTCCAGATCCATCCATTTACTTGTGAATGACAAAATTTCATTCTTCTTTGTGGCTGAATAAAATTCCATTGTATATAAATACCACATTTTCTTAATCCATTCATCAGTAGTGGGGCATCTTGGCTGCAACCATAGCTTAGTTATTGTGAACAGTGCTGCAGTAAACATGGGTGTGCAGGTGACTTTGTAATAACCTGAGTCACATTCCTTCAGGTATATCCCTAGGAGTGGGATTGCTGGATCATATGGCAGATCTATGTTTAGTTTTTTAAGAAGTCTCCATATTGTTTTCCAATGTGGTTGTACTAGCTTACATTCTCACCAGCATTGTGTGAGGGTTCCTTTTTCCCTGCATCCTCACCAACATTTGTTGTTTGTGGTGTTCTTGATGATAGCTATTTTAAGAGGAATGAGGTAGAAACTTAGTGTGGTTTTGATTTGCATTTCCTTTATGGCCAGGGATGGTGAGCATTTTTTCATGTTTTTTGGCTGTTTGGACTTCTTCCTTTGAAAAAGTTCTGTTTAGTTCAGTTGCCCACTTCTTTATTGGATCATTGATTTTTGGGGAGTTTAGGTTTTTGAGCTCCCTGAATATTCTGGTTATCAGTCCCTTCTCTGTGGGTGGTCTCTTCAGTTTAGAGACCATTTCTTTTGTTGTGCAGAAGCTTTTTAATTTCATTTAGTCCATTTATCAATTCTTTCTCTTAGTTGTTAAGCTGCTTGAGTTCTACTGAGGAAGTCCTTGCCTATACTTGTTGCTTCCAGTGTATTCTCTGCTCTTTCCTCTGCTAACTTCAATGTTTCAGGTCTAGTATTAAGGTCCTTAATCTACTTTGAGTTGATACTAGTACAGGGTGACAGGCTTGGATCTAGTTCCAGCTTTCTGCAGGCAAATAACCACTTTTCCCAGCAACATTTGGTGAAAAGGCAGTCTTTTCTCCAGCATATGTTTTTGGTGCCATTGTCATAAATTAGGTGCATGTAGCTGTGTGGATTCATATCCAGGTCCTCCATTATTTTCCACTGTTCTTTATATCTGTTTTTGTACCAGTATCTTGCGGTTTTTACTGCTATGGCTCTGTAGTATATTTTGAAGTCTAGTATCGTGATACTTCCAGTGTTGCTCTTTTTGCTCAGTATTGTCTTGGCTGTTTGTGGTCTTTTGTGTTTCCAAATGAACTTTAGGGTAGATTTTTTAAATCTCTGTGATGAATGTCATTGGGATTTTAATGGGACTTGTGTTGAACATTGTAGATTGCTCTTGGTAAAAATGGGTATTTTTATATGTTGATTCTGCCATGAATTAGGTTTTATTTACTCTTATCTTTAAAAATAACTGGTGTTAGAGTCTTGGTTAAGGCAGAACCTGTAGTTGCTGCTAAAGCATTCTAGCCAAAACCTTATTAGGACTTGGGATGGTCAGATTTTTGTAATATCTTTTTGTGGGAATTATTTTATGTGGCTTTGGTAAGAACCATGTTTAGAAGAAAATAAAGTAATATGGGTGGACAGTATGTGCACCCCTCAATTTTTCAAGACTTGACATCTTGGAGGTTAGTATGAATTTAGCACAATTACTATAGCATTTGAAGGTACATTTATCTTTATTACAATGACACAACAGAATTCTGAAAGCAGGCAACATCTGTTTAAGATGCATAAATAAGGACAGAGTTGCTCTGGTCACATTTTATGAAGAAAATAGAATGAATGACATTTTCCAACCTCAATTAAAATTTAGGATCTCAAACCAATATGTACATAATCAAAGACTTAAAATTATTGTCCTATTTATTATTATGGTTTTGAAAGATCTGTTTTTAAATTAAGTAATGTTTTAATGATTAATAAAAAATGAAATATAACCAAGATATTTAGTGAAAGGAAAGTCTTTGTCTTATCCCTGTTCCCAGCTCCTCCTGAAACTGTCATTGTTTCTAGTTTCTTGTGTTTCTTCTAGCCTGTGAGTACTATTTGTGGCTTGATAGCAGCCCATTATAAATGGTATTCTGCATTTTGCATTTCTCTGACCTGAACATTGGTTTATATACATGTATAAAATAACAGTGCTAAGTAATTCTTATTGCATACTTATTATGAGTCAGGTACTCTTCTAAGCACTTTACACACACACCTAATGAAGTGAACATCATTATTGTCCAGATTTTACTAATGGGGAAACTAAAGCTCAAAAAAGTAAAGCAATTTATGCAAGGTACCACAGCCGATTGAATATCAGCAGAGTCTTAAAACATAGAGATGATTCTTTTTTAATTTTTTTAAAACTGTTTGGTGCTGGAGATGGAACCCTGTGCCTTGCACATGGTGAATATACAGTCTTCACTGAGCTATATTTCAGCCTGACATCCTTCTTAATGACTACTACACAGATATTCCATATTGTGATCATTTAGTTCCTTAGTGATGAATATTAGATTGATTCAAATTCTTACTTCTTATAAAAAAGTAATGCTTGAAAATATGCCATTTCATACATGAGTGTATCTTTAGGATGATTTTTTTGAAGTTTAAACTTCTGAATTAAAGGCAATATTCATTTTGGTGTGATACACATTGTAAACTTGCCCTTGGCATATGATTTAACAGTCTTCATACTAAAGCTTAGTTCTTAGTTTTAACTGTTATTGACCTAATAATGCAGTCTTAAAGTACATCAATTGGACTTATGTTCTTACTCTACTGTTTGAGTGGAAAGATGAGAAGCACCTGTGCTTAACGCAGGGCTGTGTCTAGTATCTCCTATCTGTAGAGGTTTTATCAGGAGAAGATGGTCAGTAGATTACATGACAACTGTGCTTCTAGCTTCATATTAGGTGCTTAATCTATGAATCATCCTTGAGGAGTAAGTTTCCTGTGCTCCAAATATGGGAAAAATTTGGAGAATAAATCAAGATTCAACAGACTCTAAAATGTGGATCTTCATAATTTTATATTGTCTCCTCCTTTAAAATTTGTAATAAGCACAAATTTATAACCTTTGAATCAACTACTGGAAGAACAGACTGATAGTTACAAGTATAGTCTGATATATATGATACACACACACACACACACGCCAAAATATGTATATAATGAAAAAGCATCAATTTCTCCTTCTATTACACTCAGTATAACACCTCTGGCCACCAAAACTTTTGTGGTGTTTTTAACCCCATATAACCAATTCTGCAGCTGATTTTCCAGCAAATATCAGATGGGTGTCCTCTAATCCAATTCCAACTCTGAAACTATCTACCTGGAAACAAAATCAGATTCTGCATGTCAAAGATTCAGCCTTACTTGACTGCCACTTCAACTGCCAGTCCCAAAAGCAAGGTTGTGACCTGTCCTATGTGCCTTAAATCAAGTTTCCCACAACCTCCAACTTGAGTTCAATTAATTTGCTAGAGCAGTTCACAGAACTTAGGGAAACCCTCTATTATATTTACCCATTTGTTATAAAGAGCATTACAAAGGATACAGATGAATAGCTAGATGGAAAAGATGACTCAGGCAAGGCAAGGCATGTGGGCAGGAGTATGGAGCTTCCATAACCTCTCAGGTGTGTACTCTCCAGACACATCCACACATTCAGCAATTTGGATGTTCACTGATCCCAGTCCTTTAGATTTTTATGGAGGTTTCAGCAGATAGGTGCGATCGACTCCATCACTGGTCTCTGGTGATCATCTAAATTTTAGTTTCCTCTCTCTCAAAGGTTGGGGGTCAGGGCTGAAGTTCTCAACTCTCCAAAGCCTTGTTTTTTCCTGTGACTTGCCCCGGAAGTTAGGTGGGATTCCTACTCAGCAGCCATTTCATTAGTATACAAAAGATACTCTTGTTTAAGGGTTTTAGGAACTGTTTGTTAAGGAAGGGTTATGGTGTCAAAAGAGTATTCAATATAAAGGCTAAATTCAAATGTTGACAGAATTTTCTTTAATTATTACATAAGGGAACTAATCCTAGTTCAGAATGTAAATACAAAAGTTTAAAACAATCATATTACACCACGTTGTTTTACTCATGGAAGACATTTTTATTTCCTGCTTCAAAGGTGGTTTTAATTTTTCTCTTACAGATATGGGACTTTAATGGACATTGTCACCACACACTAAATGTTGGGCAAGATGGAGCTGTCGATATTTCACAGATTCTGGTTCTTAAGAAGACAATACTGGTACTGGGCTGGGAAAGGTATGATATGCTTTGTGCAAAATTGTAGGAAGATAAAATGATAATGCTTTCATTTCAATCAAAATCAAAAGAAGCACACAGAAGTCTTGGTTGTCTCAGTATTAACCTGCTGTTGGCCTAGGTGAATGAAACTCCAGTTGAAATTAAATGAATGCCTTGTGAATAAAAAAATTGTAAGACCACACAGCTTGAGTAGCTTTGAAAAGTATTATGGGACTTTCACCTGGCTTTGAGCATTTGACTTTCTTTTAAAAGTCCAAATAAGGATGTAATAATACCATTACATGAGTTCCAAAGTTTTTCCAAATGTTAGAGACAATAAATTCTTAATGTGTAAATTACATCCCTCCAACTGTAAAGGAAACTCAGTCTTTCTGAGTTTTCATTTGCAGTGCAGGAGGAAAATGGTTTACTGACTTTTGCGCTCACCCTCCTTCATCTCACTGAAGAACAAGGCCTTTCACAGACCACTTACTCTTCTCCTGGAGAAGTTCTTCCATGTCATTACAAGAAAAATTACTTTTCTCTCCTTTTTCATCTAGAGAGAACAAAGGGATCATAAATATGTCCTTTTAATATGGTATTGTGTAAGCACTAGAAAAATTGAAGTGTGATATAACTTGAAAATATATTATCGATAAATTCAGTAGTTCACAAATATTGCTGTAATAGAGAATTTGCTCAATATTACTCATTTTAGAATTATGATCGTAATGATTTGAGACTATGATAAAGTCAGATTTTATACTTAAAGCATCAATCAAATACTTCTTCTAATGTAATGTGCATATACAGATTAGCAAATGCAGAGTCACACACTGGTTTGTTTTCAAGGGCAGTGGTGCTAATAAAAATAGAAAGTAGAGGCCAGATAATCCTACTTGATATTATGAACTAATTCAGTCATTCTCAGTTTTGAAGTCCTTACACTCTGCACAGCCCTGGGAGCAATCTTACTTGATTATCAAGTAACAACTACTCCAACAATCTGTGGCTTACAGATCTCTATAACTTGGCCATGGGAATGAATAAATTTGTCTCTAATACCATGGCAGGATAGAGGTGTGCTATTCAGCTGACCCAATTCAAATACTGAGCATAAAAAACAGAATTAAAAAATTAGTCAATGTAAATAAAAACTTGGTGGTACCATTTTCTTAATTTTTTTTAGATAGCCATAATTAGGAATTAATATAAGATATAAACTTTATGATGGCTTATACGGGAAAATTTAAAATTAGATGTATTAAGTTACCAAAAAGTGTTTAAAGAAATACCTGATATTCTGATGTATGTTGGTGGGTAGTCACTTTCTATAATCTTGGTGAGGAAGTTTGGGAAGACTGTAGGATGAAAGTAAGAAAAATTACCATTCCTCCTCTTTTCCTGCTCCTTTTCATCTTCCTCAAAGTTGTCAAGACTCGGGTTCTTTAGTGGAATTGAACATTGACTTAGTACATTTTTGGTCATATTATTTCACTTTTATATTTATGGCCTTAAAAGTTACATTTTCTGAGTCAGAGGTGCTGCATGAAGGATCCAAGATAGGATTCTTCATGCCAGGAGGCTTTTAACAAAAGAGGCAAAGGGCAGATGATTATTTGGTTATAGCTAGGGAAATATGGACTATTAAGCCAGCTCCTTAATAGTTCAGTGATTAGAGAAAAAAAATAACTGGAAGATTGACAGTCAGTTTATTAAGCTTTCTGTAAATCCTACAGAGAGCCTATTCAGTTAAGCTGCAGCTTTAACTTCAGTATCTATCTAAATACAGAGATTGGTTTGATAATTTTGCTTAGGATGAAATAAATTTATATGTATTGAGTGAGGTACCTAAATACAGCATCTAATTTGTTTTATGTTTGGTGCTGTGAAGTATCATGCATTTAAGACACATTATCTAATTTAATCCTTACCTTTGTCTTAGAAGGCAGGCAATATTTTATAGATAGCTCAAGCCTCTGTCTTCAGCTCTTATCTCTCTAAGCTCATTTATATTTTGGCTTGGTAGAAATATCTGACTGAAATATAAAATTCAGCATGTTCCAAACTGAATTCGTTATCAATCTCCTCTCCCATATCCTCTTTTCTGTTAGATTTGGAGTTTTGGTTAGTTGCCAGAGACCTGGACGTCCTTCTCCCTCAACCTCACTGCCTAGCCGTCAATAAATCTTATCTATTTTACATACTGAAAGTTTCTTAAACCTGTTCCCATGAGTACTTCAACTGCATTGTTCAGAGCATAATATCTACTTAGATGAAATCCACAGCCTTTAATTTTTCCTTTCTTCCAGCAGTGCCCTTTTTCACCCCTTAAATAGATTCTGTACACTTTAGCTATAATGATTTCTTTTACAATGAATTCTATGCTATTCCCTTGTTTAAAATCTTTCAGAACGTCTACAAAATAAATCTAAGCTCCCACAAGTCTGGACTTATTCTTGATTCTCTAGTTTAATGTTTATGTAATCTTGTGTCTATTCCACACTCTACCTACGTCAAGGTGTTCCCGTTCAGGCTATGCCATTTCCCATCCCTGTGCCTTTATGCTTTCCACTTATATAGAAATCCCTGTTCAAAAATTTGTATATAGTTAGCATTTATTCCTCTTTCAAGACTTATTAGATGTCTTCTCCAACAGCATATTCCTTTTAATTCCCAGGATGTATGGAAATGTGTTTCTCTTTTGTTTGTATGCTTTTTGTTCTTTATTTAACTAAGAAATAGATATACTTCAGTGATTATTAAATGCTCAAATATATTTGTTGAATGAGTTAATGTTTGCTGAATAGATCGGAAACTGAGGATTATAGAGATTACCCATGCTAAACTCCTTGCATAGAAATTAAAAATCTACCTTATCCTCAGAATAAACCAGAAGGCAAACTATTATCTTCCCTTTTTACAAGGGAGAAAAATGAGCTGTGAAGAGACTAGGTAGACTGGCTAAGAGTATAAAGTTAGTAGGCAGTGGAGTTAGAAGTTCATGCAATAGTAGGCTTATGGTCTTTCTTCCACTTCTGAGTGGACTAATTGCAAATGACATCATAAAATCATGGAAAAGTAACTACATGTAAAAGTAATCTTATTAAAACAATGATTGAGAAGGTGGTTTATATTAAAGAAAGTTAATGAACTGGTTCTATGCACATGAAGGAAAAAAAAGCATATTGCCAACCTAATACTTTTGATTTAGTTAATACCTTAGATTTTCCTTCCCATAAATATTTAGAAAACTGCACATAGATGGGACCCACTGAGTTGGTAACTATGGCACACCTACTGTCAAGGGCATCAAATTTTATTTAGAGACTCAGCACATAGGATGTGGGATATGGCAAAGACATTGTAAAATGGTCTTAAGCAAAATGAATCAGACAGCCCATTTTTGCTATCTAGGAGCATGGCATTTATATCCAGAGAATTTATCTGTCAGCAGAAAGAAGCCCAAATTCAGAACTGCTGGAAATATGTTTCTTATTATTTAAACAAAACATACTTAGAGACAAAGCTGTGAATTGACATAGGGTTAATTCAAAAATACCTTCTAGAATCCCTGGCCATTTTTATGTTGGTAAAATTGAGTGAATGGGTGATCAATTAATTTTGCATTTGTTCAAACAAATATAATATGGTTAGCATAAAATCAAATAAATATTAATAATGGTTTAATATTTTAATCTGCTCTAAAATTCTGTGATTCTATACTCATTAAAAATAGACTTAGCTTCTTCACTTTATTTCTCTCCTTTGTGTAAAGACGAAATCTCTGAGTTCTTTCCCCAGATTTATCAAGGTATAATTAACAAATAAAAATTTATGATGTACAGGTGATATTTTGATATTTTTACTTATCATGAAATGTCTAAATAGTGAAAGTAACATCACCTTATTATACCCAATTTTTGTGAGAAACTTTTGTTTATGAAGATTTTATCTCCTTAAAACTTAGACATACAGATTCTAAAAAATGAGAATATCATATAATTTGAAATAATTCTGAAAATATTATTGCTAATAGAATCTTTCATGGTGCTCTGTAAGAAAAAGGTACTCAATAAATAGTAGTTGATAATATTTGATTATCACAAATCCCACAGACCCCAAACCTCAGCCTTGCTATTTTACATATAGTTTTCATGTAAGGAGTCAGAAATTAAAACAGTTATTACAGGTTTAAGTTGATTTTTATAAGTATTTTTTAAGTGAAATGATACTAAGTATTTGAGACATCTCAGGAATAAAACCCATTACAAGATATTAAATTCTTAATAATTGTCTTACTAAGAAACTATAACCCCATATGACTCAATTAACTTATATTATTAGGATAAGAATCAGAATAGAAAGAGCCAAAGTTATGAGTTATTTTAAATTAGCCTTGTCAGAGCGAAGGAAAGAGTAGGTATATTTGAAATTCACAAATTATCCTTAAATCTGATTTTGTGATTTTTCTACTGTCCAAAATTTGACTCCATAAATTTTAGGAAGAAGAAAACAGAAAAACAAATAAAAATGAACTGATTTATGTGGAATTCATTTTCTGCCTTTGAGATACATTTTTTTTTAGCCTAAAACGCAATGAATCAAAGGATAGCAATTAACAAGACTTAGGATAATTGGACCAACAAGAAATGAACAATTAACCCCCAAGGGAACAATTAGTTGTTCCAGTTCTTGTATTCTCTTCCATGGCAATTTCTACATGATTGAGTTTTGGTCAAAAGTTTTTTCAAGGCTGGTGCTATAGCTCAGTGGTAGAGTGCAAGTTTTGCATGTGAGAGACACTGGGTCCAGCACACACACACATACACACACACCACAACACAAAGTTATTTCCCTAAATCATTTCATGAAAAATATTTTTTAAAAAAGGTTGGTTAGAATGTTTTGTTTCTATTGTTTTTTCAAATTTTGTTCTCATATAATAGGTTTTCATATCTAAAATCTGCATTAGGGAGGTGATGCTCTTCATAAGATGGCACAATGACTCAGTACAATACTTTGAGGATTTCAAATGTGAGGTGTTGGAATAGCACTAGTAAGTTTCTTCAATGCCAAAAAGAGCATGCTCCCCAGACTCTTAAAATGTCCTGAAATTAGCCCATTCTGAACTTTAATTTTACCCTTGACAAAAGTGCAAACTTTAGAAAAGTTGTGTTTGAAATGGAAAAAAGTGAGAAATACAGTGCAGATTCTTAAGGTGTTTTAAGGACAACTGTCATTTCAAATCAAATTTTAGTTTAGGTTTTAAGAGAAAGGTGGCAGATAATTAGTTTTTCAGCATTTTGACACACGAGGTCAGACATCAGAAGGGCCAGTTTTTGCACCATCTTATGAAAAGTCTTTTGTGCCTTTGGGTGGTATTTCCTGAATATATTTAGTATATCTACTTAATATGAGTATCTTGGCAAAATGACGCTTGACATTGAATTTTGGCTGAGAGATAATAGATGTAGGATTGACCTCTTTCCTCTCATTCCAGTTCCACACTGTTGGTCCTCAATGGGTAATTTCTTTAGCCAAACTTACTAATAGGTCCAGAAAACTAAGAATTAAGACTATTTATATGTGTATATATATGTATATATAATTATTCTAAGATTAAACTGTTATTTCAGAATTTTAAATTATAATTTGTAGATCTTACTTAAACCTTAATAACATTATTAATATAATAGTAATATTTAAATTGTTGATTTTTTATTAGAGGAATAATTCTTATGCTGATTTAGCAAATATTTATTAAATGCTATTAAATACAAAGTATTATTGTAGGCACTGATGATGCAGAAGGGAAATTGCTGCTTTCCTAGAGCCCACTTTATGGTAAGCGAGAGAGAAAATAAACACAAATAAACACAGAACGTTATTTCATCCATGATATGAGTTACGAAGAAAAACAAAGCAGAGTGAGGGATGGGAGACTCAAGGGAGAGGCTTGATGTAGGGTGTCAGGGATGGCTTGCCTGAGGAAATAACGTTTAAATAATTTTCCTTCATTAGTTTGACAAATGTTTATTTTCAACTCAATATGTAGAACACTATGTGTCAATATGTAGACACATATGTGTGTACTGTGTGTTGTAGAATAAACCAAGACCCCTGGTTTCTAAAAATTTATAATCTAGCCAAGGAGCTGAAACAATGTAACATTACATGTTATAAGTGGAATGTGAAATGAAGCAAGAGGTCAAAACGGCTTTAGTTCCCAGTTATTATGGATGCCTAACAGAATAAGAAGGACATGAGAGAATGCTGTGTATGTGGAGAGATAGATGTGGGGCCATATGTGAAGTGAAATCCACAGAGGGGACAGAGGGCATACAATCAGTGAAAACACTCTGTCTACAAATGTAAGGGATTGCTATAGAACAATGAGAACATGGTTGTATTGGACAAGAAGGTGTCCAACACAGCTCCTGAGCACCTCCGACAATTCAGCCCCTACATGAAAGAAATTTACTTGAATCTTTGTATTCTATCTTTAAAATTTAGAAAAAGTTTGCATTTTATCACATTGTGTCGTCTATTTTGTTTTAATAGTAAATTATTTCCCCAGCACTCTGCAAAAGATTGACACTTAAGAAGATATACCATATTTACCCAATGGCTTCCAGCACCCCTGCCAAAGATTTAGTTGGACATTCACCTATAACTTTGAAATAATTGTAAAAAAGAAGTAGTGAGAAATAATTGTAAAGGAAGTAGATTCAAGCTTTATGTTACTAGATCTTGAAAAATAGACCTATGTGTTTGATTTTTGTCATGCAGGAAATGGAAAACTAGCGAACGTTCTTAAATAGGGCGCTACCCTCATGCTGTTTTACGACCTCCACAACTTTTCCCATCTTTTGTGGCCCAATTTGAATATCAGTCCTTCACTAAGCCTCTGTGATTTCTGCTTTAGTCTTCCATGAGATTGATCAGTACTTCTGTATAGCACTTGCCACATTTTTTCTTACACTTTAGTCATTTTATGCTCCTAGCTTTATACCTGTTTTATGACAAATAGGGACTTCAACATAGAAGTGAGACATCCCAGAATGGCATGAGAATATAGCAGCAGGATAAAGAATGTACCAGAGGAAAGTCTACTAGAGACAGTAGGATTGGTTACAAGACTGTTATAATTGTCCAACCATCAGGTAGTGAGCAATGAACTAGGAATCTGTACTGGTTGTTCAAAATAAAATGAATATGTACCACATAGTAGAGCTAAAATCTAAGCATTTGATTTGACTGGGGGAAAGAACAACATTCAAGAGGCTGTGATGCTGGTCTGTGAACCAAATTTGGGGATTCAAGATGGAGGGGCTGGTGTGGAGGGAAGATAGCAGATTTTGACTTTTGATGTATTAAGATATGTTGTTGGCTGGAAGCATTATGTGGAATGGTCAACTGACAAATGGAAACAATTCAACACTGCCAAAGTTTGTGAATAAGATCAACTTATGAGCTATTTTTGTAGATCTAAGATTAGAATTCATGGCAGTATATTGAATCTCTGATTAAGCCAGTTCTGGAATGGATAGAAAAAAGGGAAGTAATGACAATAAGGAATGCCATATTAAAAGGATATGAGAAAGAAGGGAAGAAGAAATAGGTTAGAAAATGAAAGATAAGGGAGGCAAGAAGTCCTGGAAACAAAAGTGTTACAAAGAGAGGGAGAAAGGCATCTCCAGCTGAGGCTGAGGAGTAACACTGGCAGGACAACTAGGAGACCTTTGGACTGATGGGAAGAGAAGAATGATTTCAGGGAAGTGGAAAGAGAATGAGAGTGAAGACACCAAACTTACGGTTACAAATGTTCATTTCAGGAGTGGGAGATGACTATAGAAGAAAAGAGAGGCTTGCCATAGAAGGGTAGCCATAGCTCAAATTATCAAAAAGAAGCAGTGTGGTATTAATGCTCCCACAATGTAAACTGTTCACTCCTCTTTTCCCCTATGAGTCATAAGGCACTTCATTCTCTACCCATCCTGGTCTCTCCTCAAATTTGTCAGTAGTGCCCCAAGATGCCGACTTCTTTCAAACTATTCTTTCTGTTCAAAATGTATCTGTCCTATGTCCCATTTCTTTGGAGAGGCATTTTACAGGTGTGTTCCACAAATAGTGGCTCTTCAAGGTGCAGAGGACTCCGGAAAATAGACTCTGTGGACATATAATTCTGGGAAATACCACAGGAAATGTTAGCATGTTATTTGTCCTGAGAAGCACTGAAAAAAGAAATCTTGCTCATTTTGTTTAAACTACCAAACAGTATTTGTTCATAGACTTATCTTACTTTTTATTATTGTCATAAAACTCTTAATAGTTTCATGGTGTCCATATGGGGAAACTTTCTATTAGAGTCTTGGAGATGGGTAATTTATCTAGTAAACACATACGTGTTTGGTATTAATGGTTGTGATAGGATAATTAACCTCCTGAAGTTAAATATTTATAATTTAGCAGAGAATTCAAAATAAAATTCAGTAGGAAGCTCAGTATTATAGATGACAATTTGGGCAGCATAGTCTTTTAGACTTCTCAAATCACACCACTCAAGTGGATAATGGCTACTTGCTATCTGTTTCAATTTTAGATTCACAGCTAAATTCTATGTCCTTTATACTAGAGCTATTACTGTGTTTCGACCCCAGAACTTCAATCAATTTTTCATCCAGTCTGAAGAATGGAAAGGAGGAGTACAGCACCATGATGACATCTTATGTGCTGCATTTTTGCCTCCGCAAATGCTTGCTACAGGTAAATTGAGTCTTCACTTTACAATTGAATGGAGGCAGTTTCAGTTTGCTTTGGCTCACTTTTAAAAAAAAGATTTTCTTCAATTGCAAAATGAATAGATTTCCTGAAGAAACAGGCCTTATACTTAAAGCTCCTTTTGGTCCTTATTTCTAGGGCAATATGTAGGTAATTAGAACCATCAGCTCCCCTGAGGTTTCTCTGGTTTAAAATCCTGGTTCTACCACTTGCTACAGCATGCTATTGTGTGAATTATTTAAACTTTGAATAATACCTTTCTCTGCCTGATAATAATATGTCTATATTTTAGTTTAAAAGCACAGATTACTTATGTAAATTTTCTTGGCACATATAAGCTCATCGATATACATTTACTTTTATTTTTATCATGTAGTTTCCAAGAGCAGCATATGGGTATAAATCATACCTTGGTGGCACTCAGATGTTTCATAATGGGAACATATCAGTCCTTTGGTATAATCTGTCTCAGATAATTTTGGGTAAAGATTGTCCTTACAAAATGCCTGCAAATCCAAGCTCTAAGAATGATCCCATGGGATTCTTTGATGTGACCTGTTGAAGGGTACAAAAATGTTGTATTACAAAATTAGAAATAAGGGCAAAATAGTTTCTGCTGGGTATTGAGGTGGGGGAGAGGAAGGAGGAGGAGTGGGTGGTAAGGGAGGGGGTGGGGGCAGGGGGGAGAAATGAACCAAGCCTTGTATGCACATATGAATAATAAAAGAAAAATGAAAAAAAAATGTTGTATTATTCGACCAAAGAAAGAAATTTATAAAAACAGATTGCACCATGAAATTTTGAAGTCCTATTTTGAAAGCCTAAGTTATTTTTATAGAACCAAAATATGTCATCAATTAAGAGAAACAGAAAGTTATAGGATAAGAGCTAGAGTATCAATGAAGTGTTACTATATGAAGTCAACTGATCTATCTAATTTAAGCTTCCATGATTTCTTTAGGATTACCTGATTACTTTCTGGTGAAGCCAACTCTATAGCTGACTTTTCTTTATATCTACTGGAAGTCCATCCTTTGAGGAAGGATCACATTCTGAAATTTGATCGAGATAGTGAACTATAAAGTTATGTGGTCATAATTGAGAGTGTCACAGAGTACTGTTATATTGATGGATAGATAATCTCTTCATTCATTTTCTTCATTCATCAGTCCTATGTAATAAAAGTCTGGCCAAGCCCATTGCAATAAAGTACAATGGATGTGCCATGGACAGCTGAAATCCATTTTTCTTAGCCAATTTCTGATTATACACAGTGATTTTCCAGAACAATAAAGAATTTAGTATTCATTTCTTTTTTCTCTGCCCCAGATCCCAAAAAAGTCACCATATGTAGATCATACCCAAACTCAGCTCTTCTCTTGAACTGCTCACTTTACATTCACATCTGCTCAGTAGGAGCTGATCTCGTTGAGTCACAGAGCACAGCCAGATATCTGGGCACTGTTGTGCTGCTCATCCACAGGACAGACTTGGTCAGACTTACCCTCTGGTAAGCCTCTGGGCTTTTCTCTGTACTTTCTGTAGGGAGAATTTTAGCATGGGGAAAGTAATATTTAATAATGAACATAGGAGGGAAAGAATGAAAAGAGTATACACTCAGGATGCAAGGAACAGAAATCCAGGAGGACTTGATTTGCTTGTCCTTACTCAATAAAGGAGTATAATAATAATTCATACTTTTTCAGTACTTACAATATTCTCAGCACCATTCTAAATACTTTTCATTTTTTCATAAGTCCTATGAGATAAATACAATTATTAAGCAGGTTTATAGATGGGGAAATTGTGGCATCAAGCAGAGTTAAACAATATGTACAAGTTTCCACAGTTAATAAGTAGCAGAACTTGGATGCAAACTCAAGTTGTTTATCTATGGAGCCTTTATTCTGAATGTTTTATAACTCTAAAGTAAAAGGAGATAACAGTAATTTCTACACATCTTCTGCAAGGATGATACTGTGAAGACTGTAAGTCTAAAGTTAATACAATTACTAGTTATTCATGTCTTCAAAAATATAGAGACACTGCCTACTGTGTGCCAGATTTTGTTTAAGGCACATTGATAAGGGCGTCCTTTAATTGCTGCTGTATGTATTTTCTATCTGATCTTTTGACCATTTATATTCTTTATCTTGGTTCATGTAGGGAGCTATGATGGAGAAATTATTCTGTGGAATAATAGTACAGAAAATGCTCATAATGTCCTTCACCCTGGTTACCAGAGGCTGCTAAACTCAACATTAGGTGAGTGCAAGTTTGAAACTAAAATGATGTGAGTCAGACCCCAGTAGGCCTGGCTTTTTATGCATGTACCCAATGCAGCTTACTCCTAAATTATAGATGATCAGCTGTAAGCACAAAGGATTAGTGATATTGTTGTTATGTCAGTGACTAAAAAGAATCTTGAGATTTATTTGGCTTAGCAAATTCTCCATGCATGCTGTTTCTTCTCTTTATGTTATACCAGCATTTCTGTATTACTGACAGCAGAGAACAGGTCTCTCATTTTTATCTAGTTTAGTTTTCTCCAATAAACCTTGCCAAATTGCCTTTGAGTGAACTTTGGGTACCCCTTGGCAGGAAGAAGGAAACTATGTTCACTTGATTGGCTGTTCAGACTCAGTCTAAGGCTTTGTATTAAATATTATGCCACCTGGAAATCTTAAATTATTCCTTTAGAAACCTGTAAGGAGCATTAGACTGGACTATATTGTATTTTATGAGAGTTTAGCAGAACACATGAATATTTTATACTTAAGCAAATGTCTTGAAAATTGCCTCTCACATTTTATTTTAGTTAGATACTAAAGGGTTTTCCTTAGACTAATTTATATGGGTAATGAATATTTCATTCCCATGGTCAAGTCAGATTCTATTGTCTGAATTGGATAAACTCATAGAGAATGGATTCAACATTTGGAAAGCACTGGCCATCAGATACATTGTGTGTGTGTGTGTGTGTGTGTGTGTGTGTGAGAAAGAGAGAGAGAAAGAAAGAGAGAGAGGAAGAGAGAGAGACAGAAGATGAGGAAGTGATTTATTGAGACTAAGAAAACCAATTTAAGAGTTAAAGGAATTACTCAGCTGCAGATACTGTTTTATGTACAAAGAGCTAATGGTTAGGGCTCATCTTAACCTTCCATGGAGAGGTTGTGAGTCTGCCCTTTTCTCTACATTGGCTTTCAAGAGAGTGCCATATATTCATAGCAACCAAATTGTGGCTACCGTTAAGTGCCTATAGAAATAAAAGAGAGAGAAATAAACAATATCAAATTTCAAAAACACTTAAGGGGCATTCTTATAGATTTCTTACTTAGATATTTTGAAGATATCCCTGTAGATATTTTTCATAATACTGGTGATTGCTCATAGATTCACAGATGAATATCCTCATTTTTCATTAGATGGTATCAATAGATAATTGATGTACTGTTAGTAATATCCTCTCCAGAGTAACCCACTAACAAGTAGCATTGCTAAAAAATGTTCATTTAAATATAAATAAATATGCTTTACATTTCATGTTCATTACAATATTTGCAGAAGTAGTATTAATGATTAATAAGCTGCAAATGCCATGGTATTAAAAACCCATTTGTCTTGAGCATATCAGGATCTCTGTGATGTGAGCAGTAAATATAATATGATGTCCCCATTAATTCATATCAAGGGAGAGCACAGTAAGTGTGCATGGAATATGCAAGGCAAAAATTAAGTCAAATGGTGTTGCAGATTGGGGTTGAGGAAAAGAATAGCAGGAGGTTTGGTGTTTGTGACTGACACATCTACTGTGAGACCTGGAGTCAGCAGAGACAGTGATGGAAGTAGCCCTATTATTTTTCATTTGTATTGGTTTGAGCAGCAGCTAATTCTCTTCATTAAGACACCTGTCTGTCTTTATCACAGATACAAAACCTCAAAAGCTCAGTCCTGAGAAGAGCTCCTCTACCACACCATGGTAGACCAGGCTGCCTTTGAGATTGACACTGAGGGTAATAATGCTGTTATGAGGCTTTGTTTTCTTGAAGCAAGAAAAAACATTGCAGCAACAGGTAAAAAATATATTTGCCTGACTGTATTTGTGAAAGGGAATAATAAAGTTCAATCTATTTCTGTTTAGGTCTTACAGCATTTGACTCTGTGAGCTCTCCAAATCAGTCCTGAATCACGGGAGACCATGCACCTCGGCACAGGAGGTTGGGGTGGAGGAAGTTGGGGCAGGAGCAGGAGCTAGACAGGATCTGACTGACAATTTATCTGGTGCTATATACATCAAGAGCAGAGTGAGAAACACTCTGACAAATATTTGATAAAGACAACTGAAATCAGTGTTCCAGTCATGGCATATAAGTGTATTAGTAGAGTGGGGGACAACTAAGCCAAAGCTTAGGTTCCCATACAGCAAAGAAAGGAATCTGAGACTGACTGTACGGGCACCTGGTATCAAGATAGGTCAAGGTGTTTTGAGATTGGTAGCAATGGCAAAATTTGAAGTAAGTGTTGATCCCAGCAGAGGGTTGCTTGTCCTTTGTCTTAAACACTGTTTTGTGATGCTTTGAATATCACTGCCAGTTATATATGCTTTTCAGAATGCATCTGAATCCTGTTTTAATCACTTGTGATACATATGCTAACATTGGCACTACCATTTGAGTTACTGTGGTGATATTCTGTTATATAACTGAAATAACCATTTGCCTAATTTTCCTAATTTCATGAAGCTTGAATCTTTCCAAAATAAAGTCTGTTTTTAAGGATAATGTAAATATGCTTTGAATATTTATCTAAAGTAGGTATTGTATTTTAAGAAGTGTTTTTCTAGACATATGTGTTATGGTTGAAAAAAGAACCATCTTTTGTAATTCAGTTTCTCATATGTAATTTGCAAAGGGAAAATCTGTAGGATATTCATATAAAATTTTCTGTCATCAGTAAAAGTATGCCTCTGTTATCTTTCAAAACATGGGGCATTTAAAATAGACATATAACAGATTACAAAACTTTCTATTTTCTAGCACTCACTTATATTCACAATATGAATCATTATCCTAAAATTACCTTCATTTCTTCAATACTAATTCTTCTCAATGTCATCAGTATTCCCGAATTGGTTCCAGCGAAGCAGCTGCCTTCCATTATTAGTTTAAGTAGATATGATGGTTAATCGCCAGTACGCTTGTGAAACAAATTGGAAGTTATCTACAGATTTATCAAATTATAGGAACTTTGCCACAGAAGAATAATTTAGGTAAAGCGCTTCTATAAAGAATATAAAAATGAAAAGTGAAAAGGGTTCCATAAGGGCATACAATAAAGTCCTTATAAAAAATTTTAAAAATGCAGAAATGATACCTGTTGAAACCGTTCCAGGAATCAGGGGAGGGGGTATGAGAGAGAGCAGTGGAGGGGGTGAATCCAAGTATGACATATTTGATAAATTGAAAGAACCTTAGTAAATGCCACAACAATAAAAAAGCAAAAATTTAAAAACAAGCCCGTAAAGAGAATACTAACTATGCTGCTAAACAGAGAAATTAAATTAGACTTGATTTCAAGTTAGGCTCTGACCACATAGGTGCATCTCAGTTTGTGGGTGAGGACTTTCACTTCTTTGTGTATATGTCCAATAGGCAGTTAGGGAAGATAAATTTTATGTAATCAGGATATTATCATATTGATGGAATTAATATTTTGTAAGTTATTTAATGAAACAAATTAATTCTACCTAATTTCAAGACCCAAATAACATCATAGTAGTGTATGAAGGAAAAGAAACTGAATTTAATGGAACGTGTTACATATTAATGCTCAACACAGACCAGTGAGGTTATTATAGGATCTTCTCCGTTTTCTAATTTACAGATTCAAAGTGCTTCTGAAAATACATTTCGGTGCTACTCACCTCTCCAGTAACACATTCTTTCTGCAGGGCAAGCCACTGGAATTTGTTGTTATAGTTTCCTAATTAGATTTTCCTTTATGTAACAGGAGGAGCTAACCTAGTATCATGTGGAGGGTCTGGTTATGTAAGGTTCTGGGACACATTTAAGAAACACCTTCTGGCTGAATTTTTAGCTCATAGTGGAGCTGGATCTATTATTATGTCTACTGATAAGTTGAATCGATACCTTACCACAGGAGATAGTGATGGATGGTTGAAAATATGGAACATAGAGGTAAATTGAGAAAAATTCTATATCATCTTCATTATTTTAGATTGCCTCTTGTTGCAAATGACAAATATCTGATAAAACTGTATCTGCTTGTATGAATCAGGTTTTATTTCCTGATTAGAGGAATGTCTCTTCCTCTGTCTAGGACCATTTACAAGTATTGAGCAGAGGCTTGTTTTGAATAGAATTGATGGAGAAAACCAGATTTTGTTAAGTAGAAAACTTGTTAAAATATAGTCAAATCATTCATTCAATTTAGGAATGCAAGTTTGTTAGTAAGGTACTGCAGTGTTGTTTGAATGCAAATAACTAAGGTATGCCTTATTTGAAATTAGATTGAAAATGTATTTGCATATTGGCCCTTCATCTAACATTATCATCATTCTGAATTAGTTGGGCAATGCTTTTTTTTTAACACAATTATCTACTCACTTTTCAAATAATGTAAATTATATTATATTATGTGACTATCTATACATGGCAAAGCTCATCTTTATCCAATAACTGATATTACTGTTCATTTTTTTTTCTTTCCATCCTTTCTCCCTGCTCTTCCTTCTTTCCATTTCCCAAGTCAGTCAAGGCAGTGAGAAACCTTTTGTTTTTAAATGTTAGTGCCATCTTTCTAACCTCTGTTATCGTTAACTCTCTTACATTTGAGTCATAGATTATTATTCCCAAATCTACAGGTTTTTTTAAATTTTTATTTTATTCATATGCGCATACAATGTTTGGGTCATTTCTTCCCTCTTCCCCCCGCTCCCTCCCTTTCCCCCCTTACCCCTCGCTACCAGGCAGAAACTATTTTGCCCTTATCTCTAATTTTGTTGAAGATAGAGTATAAGCAATAATAGGAAGGAACAAGGGTTTTTGCTAGTTGAGATAAGGATAGCTATACAGGGAGTTGACTCGCATTGCTTTCCTGTACATGTGTGTTACCTTCTAAGTTAATTCTTCTCGAACTACCTTTTCTCTAGTTCCTGGTCCCCTTCTCCTATTGCCTCAGTTGCTTCCAATTATCTGCTTTAGTTTCTCTGCATTAGGAACAACAAATGCTATCTACTTTTTTGGGTGTCTTATCTATCCTCATACCTTCTTTGTGTGCTCTTGCTTTATCATGTGATCAACACCCTTGTTGTGTTTGCCCTTTATCTAATATCTGCATATGAGGGAGAACATATGATTTTTGGTCTTTTGGGCCTGGCTAACCTCACTCAGAATGATGTTCTCCAATTCCATCCATTTACCTGCAAATGATAACATTTTGTTCTTCTTCCTGGCTGCATAAAATTCCATTGTGTATAAATACCACATTTTCTTAATCCATTCATCAGTGGTGGGGCATCTTGGCTGTTTCCATAACTTGGCTACTGTGAATAGTGCCACAATAAACATGGGTGTGCAGGTGCCTCTGGAGTAACCTGTGTCACATTCTTTTGGGTATATCCCCAAGAGTGGTATTGCTGGATCATATGGTAGATCAATGTTTAGATTTTTAAGTAGCCTCCAAATTTTTTTCCAGAGTGGTTGTACTAGTTTACATTCCCACCAGCAGTGTAAGAGGGTTCCTTTTTCCCTGCATCCTCACCAACACATGTTGTTAGTGGTCTTGCTAATGATGGCTATTCTAACAGGGTGAGGTGGAATCTTAGTGTGGTTTTAATTTGCATTTCCTTTATTGCTAGAGATGGTGAGCATTTTTTCATGTGTTTTTTGGCCATTTGAATTTCTTCTTTTGAGAAAGTTCTGTTTAGTTCACTTGCCCATTTCTTTATTGGTTCATTAATTTTGGGAGAATTTAGTTTTTTAAGTTCCCTATATATTCTGGTTATCAGTCCTTTGACTGATGTGTAGCTGGCAAATATTTTCTCCCACTCTATGGGTGGTCTATTCAGTTTAGAGACCATTGTTGCACAGAAGCTTTTTAGTTTTATGAAGTCCTATTTATCTATGGTATCTCTTAGTTGCTGAACTGCTGGGGTTCCACTAAGAAAGTTTTGCCTGTACCTATTAATTCCAGAGTATTTCCTACTCTTTCCTGTACCAACTTTAGAGTTTGGGGTCTGATATTAAGATCCTTGATCCATTTTGAGTTAATATTGGTATAGGGTGATATACATGGATCTAGTTTCAGTTTTTTGCAGACTGCTAACCAGTTTTCCCAGCAGTTTTTGTTGAAGAGGCTGCTTTTCTCCATGTATATTTTTAGCCTTTGTCAAAGACAAGTTGGTTATAGTTGTGTGGCTTCATATCTGGGTCCTCTATTCTGTTCCACTGGTCTTCATGTCTGTTTTTGTGCCAGTACCATACTGTTTTTATTGTTATTGCTTTGTAATATACTTTGAAGTCAAGTATCGTGACACCTCCAGTGTTATTCTTTTTACTCAGTATTGCCTTGGATATTCGTGACCTTTTGTGTTTCCATATAAATTTAATGGTAGATTTTTCAATCTCTTTAATGAATGTCATTGGATTTTGATGGGAATTGCATTAAACATGTAGATTACTTTTGGGAGTATAGACATTTTTACTATGTTGATTCTACCAATCCATGAGCATAGGAGATCTCTCCACTTTCTATAGTCTTCCTCAATCTCTTTCTTCAGAAGTTTATAGTTTTCCTTGTAGAGGTTGTTCACATCCTTTGTTAAGTTTACACCTAGGTATTTGGTTTTTTTTTGAGGCTATTGAAAATGGAATTGTTTTCATATATTCTTTCTCAGTTTCATTACTAGTGTATAGAAATGCTAATGATTTTTCTACGTTGTTTTTATATCCTGCTACCTGGCTATCGCTATTGATGGTGTCTAGGAGCTTTTGAGTAGAGTTTTTTGAGTCTTCAAGGTATAGGATCATTTCGACAGTTTCTTTACCTATTTGTATTCTTTTTATTCCTTCTCCTTGCCTAATTGGTCTGGCTAGGAATTCCAGTACTATGTTGAATAGGAATGGAGATAGTGGGCATCCTTGTCTTGTTCCTGATTTTAGAGGGAATGGTTTCAGTTTTTCTCATTAAGTATAATGCTGGCTGTAGGTTTGTCATATATAGCTTTTATAATGTTGAGGAACTTTCCTTCTATTCCTAGTTTTCTTAGAGCTTTTATCATGAAATGGTCTTGGATCTTATCAAAGGCTTTTTCTGCATCTATTGAGATGATCAGGTGGTTTTTGTCTTTGCTTCTGTTAATGTGGTTTATTACGTTTATTGATTTTCGTATGTTTTACCACCCTGCAATCCTGGGATGAAGCCTACTTGGTCGTGGTGAATGATCTTTTTGATGTGTTGTTGAATTCGGTTTGCCATTATTTTATTGAGGATTTTTGCATCAATGTTCATTAAGGAGATTGGCCTATAGTTCTCCTTTTTGGAGGTGTCTTTGCCTGGTTTTGGGATAAGTGTAATACTGGCTTCATAAAATGTGTTAGGCAGTTTTCCTTCCCTTTCTATTTTGTGGAACAGTTTAAGGAGGGTTGGTATCAGTTCTTCTTTAAAGGTCTGATAGAATTCAGCAGAGAATCCATCAGGTCCTGGACTTTTCTTTTTAGGGAGACTCTTGATTGCTGCTTCAATTTCATTTTGTGTTATAGATCTATTCAGGTGATTAATTTCCTCTTGGTTCAGTTTTGGATGATCATATTTATCTAGAAATCTGTGCATTTCTTTAAGATTTTCAAATTTATTTGTATATAGGTTCTCAAAGTAGTCTTTGATGATTTCCTGGATTTCCATGGTGTTTGTTGTTTTCTCCCCTTTTGCATTCCTGATTCTACTAATTTGGGTTTTTTCTCTCCTCATTTTAGTCAGGTTTGCCAAGGGTCTGTTGATCCTGTTTATTTTTTCAAAGAACCAACTTTCTGTTTCATTAATTCTTTGTATGGTTTTTTTTTGGTTTCTATTTTGTTGATTTCAGCTCTTATTTTTATTATTTCTCTCCTATTTGTTTTGGGATTTGCTTGTTCTTGTTTTTCTAGGAGTTTGAGATGTATCATTAGGTCATTTATTTGAGATCTTTCAGTCTGTTTAATATATGCACTCATGGCTATAAACTTTCCTCTCAGGACTTTGCTGTGTCCCATAAGTTCTGGTAGGTTGTATTTTCATTTTCATTGTCTTCCAGGAAGTTTTTAATTTCCTCTTTTATTTCATCAATCACCAATTTTTCATTAAGCAATAAGTTATTCAGTTTCCTGCTGTTTGCATGTTTTTTGTCTTTGTTTTTGTTGTTGAGTTCTAGTTTTATTGCATTGTGATCAGGTAGAATGCATGGTATAATTTCTGTTTTCTTATATTTGCTGAGGCTTGCTTTGTGCCCTAGGATATGATCTATTTTGGAGAAGGTTCCATGGGCTGCTGAGAAGAATGTATATTGTGTAGAAGTTGGATGAAATGTTCTGTAGACATCAACTAGGTCCATTTGATCTATGTATATTTTAGATCTAGGATTTCTTTATTGATTTTTTGTTTGGATGACCTATCTATTGATGATAATGGGGTGTTAAAGTCTCCCACAACCACTGTGCTGGAGTTATATATGCTTTTAGGTCCTTCAGGGTATGTTTGATGAAATTGGGTGCATTGACATTGGGTGCATATAGGTTGATAATTGTTATTTCCTTTTGGTCTATTTCCCCTTTTATTAGTATGGAATGTCCTTCTTTATCTCATTTGATCAATGTAGGTTTGAAGTCTACTTTGTCAGAGATAAGTATTGGTACTCCTACCTGTTTTCAGGGGCCATTGGCTTGGTAAATCTTCTTCCAGCCTTTCATCCTAAGTCTATGTTTATTTCTATTGGTGAGATGGGTCTCCTGTAAGCAACAAATTGTTGAGCCTTCCTTTTTAATCCAGTTCATCAAACTGTGCTTTTTGATGGGGGAATTAAGTCCATTAACACTAAGTGTTAGTACTGATAGGTATGTGGTGATTCCTGTCATTTAGTTGTCTTAGTTTTTGAAGGTTTGATTGTGTGTATCTAAATAGAAGTTACTCTCTACTTTCTTGCTTTTTCTTTTCCTGTAGTTTGGTGCTGCTTGCCCTTTCATGGTTATGTTGGGTTTCACTTTCTGTGTGCAGAATCCCTTGAAGAATCTTTTGTAGTGGTGGCTTTGTGGTCACATATTGTTTTAGTTTCTTCTTATCATGGAAGACTTTTATTGCTCCATCTATTTTGAATGATAGTTTTGCTGGGTAGAGTATCCTAGTGTTGAAGTGATTTTCATTCAGTGCCTGGAAGATCTCACCCCAAGCTCTTCTTCCTTATAATGTTTCTGTTGAGTAGTCTGCTGTGATTTTGATAGGTTTACCTTTGTATGGTATTTGGTTTTTCTCTCTTACAGACTTCAATATTCTTTCTCAAGTCTCTGTACTTGTTGTTTTAATGATGATGTTCTATTTTGTTCTGGACTGTTTGGTGTTCTGGAGGCCTCTTGCATCTGTATGGCCATAGTTTTCTCTAGATTTGGGAAATTTTCTGTAATTATTTTGTTGAATATATAATGTATTCCCTTTGCTTGCACTTCTTCTCCTTTTTCAATGCCCATGATTCTTGGTTTTGGTCTTTTGATGGAGTCCGTGAGTTCTTGTATTTTCTTTTCATAGGTCTTGAGTTGTTTAACTAATAGTTCTTTGGTTTTTCCTTTAACAACCATTACATCTTTGAGTTCTGAGATTCTGTCTTCTGCTTGTTCTATTCTGCTGGATTGGCCTTCCATTTTGTTTTGCATTTCTGTTTCGTTCTTTTTTCTGAGGTTTTCCATATCCTGGGTGGTTTCCTCTTTAATGTTGTCTATTTTCCTGCTGAGTTCATTTATCTCTTTATTTATCACGTTCTTTGTTTCACTTTGGTGTTCATAGAGTGCTTCTATGGTTTCTTTTATTTCTTCTTGTGCTTTTTCAAATTCTCTATTTTTGTTGTTTTGGAATTTCTTGAGTGTGTCCTGTACATTTTGGTTGACCATATCCAGTATCATCTCTATAAAGTTCTCATTGATTACCTGTAGCATTTCTTTTTTTAGATTATTCTTGTGGGCTTTATTGGGTTCTTTGGTATAGTTTATCTTCATTTTGTTGGAGTCTGGATCTGTTTTCTTCATTTCCCTCTAGTTCCTGTACTAATTTTTTGCTGTGGGGCAACTGGTTTCCCTGTTTTTTCTGTCTTCCCATCATTGCCCTTGGTATTGCTACTGTCCCTGTACTGTGTGCAATTAAGTATTTTCTAGCTTGTAATAATAACAGTGGTGATATTTAGAATGGAAGGGTGAGAGGAGAGGGAAAGCAAAGATGGTAAAGAAAAAGAGAAAAACAGATAAACAAACAAGTAAAAAAACAAAGCAAACAAACAAACAAAAAGTGTCAAAGATATAAACAGGGAGAAATAGTATCCTAATGCACAGTAAGACAAGCAGGCATTAGAGAGACAGACAGAGGATCAAAAAAAATCTCTAAGATTAAATGCAATAAAGTTTCAGTCCCTCAGCCTCCAATCCTGGAGATGGTGTCTCAGAAGTAGTTCTGTTTGTTGTCTCATCAAAGGGGAAAAAAGCCAAAAAAACAAAAACAAGCAAAACACCACAAAGTGTCCCAAGTTCAAATGTAATACAGTTTCAGTAAATTTTTCAGCATTCAGGTGTAGTTCGGTTGTTGTCTCATCAAGGAAGAGAAAAAAAAAAAGAATCTGGAGACAGCTTTTTGAATGTCTATCTGAGGCTGTGACTCACCTGCCCACTACTGTCAGCCAGCTGTTGCTGGAGACTTTATTGATTGCAGATCTCAGGAATGAGCTCAACACTCACCTAGCTCCTCAGGTTTTGTTTACTTAGAGTTCTCCTGGGTGCAACCACCACTGTTACCAGCTTTCCCCTTTCCAAGGGGAGGGTGGCGCTATACCTGCCTTCTCTGGCTGGAGTGTTTATTTACAGTTCACGTGGGAAGTGACCCTTCCCCCTTCTCCTGTGGAGTTTTCCTCCCACCACCATTTTTACAAGCTTTCCTGCTCCAAGGTTGCTGGGGTGCCACGACTCCTGCCTTCTCCAGTCAGCTTGTTTATTTACAGTTTCATGAGGGAGTGCCCCTCCCCACTTCCTCACTCAGGGCGCCCTGCCCTCTTTGCTACATAACTTTTTTTGTTGTTGTTTATTATTCAGTTTGGTTTTTTTCCTCTTTTTCCCTGAGTGGGGGTTGGTCTGTCCAGGGGGCTATGCTGATCTGGCCCAGGACTGTCTGTTGGAGTACCGCATGCCGCTTAGCTCACCTGGTGGTCTGCGTCTTCCCAAGCAGTCTGGGAGCTGGCGTCTGGCGGCATAGGAGCCCTCCTGGTTTCTCCATTTACCATGGAGTGGGGGCACTATGCTGGCTGGGGGTGTGGAGGAATCAGAGTTTTGCTGCTTTTTGGTGGTTTTTCCTGTAAGGTGTATCTCCAGTGTCTCTCCAAGATTTTACTTTAGGAAGCATGTTTCTGCTTCCTCCTTCTAGTCGCCATCTTGGAATCTCTCTTTACAGCTTTTCATTTCCATTTCAGGCTTAAAAAAACACATTATATCATTATAATCATTTTTATAATTGGGTTTTAAAGTTCTGACATTTCTTTCCACTTAGGAGTACTGCCTAAACTCCAGTAAGAACAAAATCACAGAGACTCCAAGTCTGTTAAGATCATTCCAACCTCATGAGGACCAGATAAGATCCTTGGAGATGTGCGAGCCAGGTGGTCGGTTACTGATTGTCTCCTGTTCTGCTGACTGCAGCATTTGTGTGACTGGGCTCTGTAATGCTCCTATTTTGATCTTTGGTCAGGTATAAATATTGCTTCTTTATATTACTCTAGCAGTTACTTGACATTTTATATGAACTTGGGCTGATTTCCATTGGAATCTCACTAATTTATTGTTCACTAGTCATGGGAAAACATTTCTGAAGCTGGAGCTCAGGCTTCTTTTGTTTACAATTAACCAGGACAGTTGCATCAAGTAGAGAACACCAAAGGCATAGAAAGATGGTGGCTGTGTGCAGCTCAAAATATTTTAAGATTTTTGAGGAAAATTTTTCTTCAAAAATAGATGAATTCCTTCAATTTCAAAATTTAGTTAAAATGCAATGTAGAGAAACAAACCAGTGATTGTGACTGTCAGGTAATAATAAAGGTAATAATCAAATGTAGGGATGTGAAGGCAGGGCTGAGAAAGGAATAAATTATAGGTACTGGAAAATAACAACAGTGAAATTCTTATCATGATGTGTAAGAAGATACATCCTTTTACAGCAAAATAGAAAGTTACAGAGGGCAAGTAGAAATACATAGGTAAGAAGGAGAAGAGGCCTGATTAGTATATGTAATAGGATCAGAATAATCATTACTGAACAAATTTGACCTGTACAATTATTGAGTCTTGCTGTACATTTTAACATAGCATTTGGTTTTATTCATTCGATTAATACAGGCTTAGTAGTTATGGAAAATATGAGAAGAAGCAGTAATATATTTTAATTTCCTATATTAAGGCATTTTTTCAACTACATATAATCTGATTAAAGTATCTAAAATTTAGTGTAAAGTGATTTAATATATTTCACAAAAGATATTTTAAATCAGCTTTGAGTCACTTTTATAACATAGGCATTGATTTTTGGCTAGTTTCCACATAAATTTCTTTTGGCAGTACTGGAGCTTGAACACAGGGCCTTGCACTTGCTAGGAAGATACTCTACCATTTGAACCATGCCTCCCACCTTTCACTTTAGGTATTTGTTCAGTAAGGTCTTGCATTTATGCCTTGGTCAGCCTGGTCTGTGATTCTCCTGTTTACACTTCCTGCATAGCAGGGCTGACAATCACACACCACCAGCCTACCTATTGGATAAGATGGGGTCTTTCAAACTTTTTGCCCAATTGGCTTTGAACCAGGATCCTCCTGATCTCTGTCTCCCAAGTAGCTGGGGTTATAGGCATGAGCCACTACTTCCAACTTCAAGCTAAATTTAAGTATTATGATATGCCTATTTCTGGAGTTGGTAAAACGGGGGTGGAAATAGTTTATCTATAAGGACATTTATTCCAGGGGACTGTCAGATGATTGTGGGATATGAATAAATTAGATGACATCTGCAACTCTTCAGTGCCCCTCCTTCAGCTTGAAGTTCTGTTGTACTGGGTAGTTTGTGCCTTGGTGACCCTCCTCATCTGGTTGATTTGATTACCAGGATTTTGGTTGTGGCTATTCACCCACTATTTAAAATATGACTTAAATGTGAAGAGATTTCATGAAAGATCCAGATTTTTTGCTTCTCTTGAAAAGGAACATATATTATTCCCCACTGTATTTATCCATCATCTGTTAGTAAAATGGCATCTGACACTATATAATTTGCAAAGAAAAGTAGCTTATTTAGCTCACAGGTTTGAAGGTTGAAAATCCAAACAGTGTAGCACATGCTCTGGTGAGGACCCCTTGGCTCCATTCTCCATGGAAGATGGTGTCATTGTGGCTGGAGCCGTGTAAGAGGGTGACATCACACAGTAGGATAGGACAGAAAGCTGGGAAGGGCCAGGCTTGCTCTTGCAACAACTAACTCAGGGGCCCATAAAAACTACCTTAATCTCTTCTGAAGGGAGTTCCCCCAATAACCTAAACACCTCTCACTAGCTCCTACCTCCTGAAGGTTTCCCATCATCTCTCAATGTTACCACACTGAGACCAACCAACACCGGATGACACAATCATATTACAGCCAAGCCATAGCAATACCTCTTATATAACACAGTCTCTTTGTGATTCAGTGTCATCCCTCCTTCTCCTTAATATATACAAACACAGAAACTAAATTTCAGTTGCTATTTATTATCTTATATGAGATTAAATTTATTTATTGACACTTTCTGCTAGGCCCGTAAAAACATTTTACTTTGTAAACCTTTAGGATAAGGTTGATCTGTCAAATATCCTTGAGAGACCTAATGATTCCTTCATATTATATAGCATGTTATGTAGAACATTCCTGAGGGCATATGTGAATTGATATAAGACAAGAAAATCAATCTTTTATTTTTAAAATTTAAAATAAATTGTCAATGGTGAGCTTTGGCTAGATGTATACATATAAGACATGTAGACAGGATGTGGTATTACACGTCTGCAATCTGAGCTACTTAGGAGGTGGATTTTGGGAGGAGAGTGGTGCAAGCTTGCCTGAACAAAAGTTAGGAAAGTCCCATGTTGACCAACCAGCTAGGTGTGGTTATATGTAGCAGTAATGCTTGCTATGTGGGAGGTATAGGTAGGAGGATTGATGTTGGAAGCCACACCTGGGCAAAAATGCCAGACCCTATCAGCACAAAACAAAACAAAATAAACAAACAAAAAATAAAAACTAACAAGGGCTGGGGGTTGTGACTCAAGTGATAGAGTGCTTGCCTAGTGTGCATGAGCCCCTGAGTTCAACCTCCCCTACCACCACCAGACAAACAAACAAACAAACAAACAAAAGAATTGCAGGCAAAATTTATGAAAGCTATTATATACTACATATTTTTCTCCTGGAAAAATCCGGTAATGCAACTGATTTTTTGAGGTTTCTTTTAAGAGGTAGGATATAAAAAGAATGTTGTAAGAAAAAAATGTCAGTTCTTTAATAAAAGTTCTTGTTTTTAGCTCTTACTGTATAGGATTTTCAAGTAGAAATAGCAGTAATTTTTTGTGGTCCATTGTTATGACTTCAGAGAATTTTTGTTTCCTATTACACTTCCCATTTTCTACCTTTATTAAAATTAGATAGCTTTTAACTCCCCTACAAGACGGTAAGCTCCTTAAGTCCGGAATCCTGCCTTAGTCATTTGTGTGTGGATAACCCTAGGAGTTCAATTAGTGATCTAGGCCATGGTAAATACACAGAAACATTAGATGGAAATAAATTTCATAAGATATAAAAGATCTGGTTTTGTTTTTTTTTAGGCAAAGCATTGGAATATTGAAAACTGTCTTTCTCTTCCTAAAAGAGATACTAATTTAGTAGAAAGTGAGATTCAAGAGGAAAACATAAAAGTAAAACCTATATTTTCTAAAGAGGAGTTATGCTTACACCCAGCTGGACATTCTGTATGTAATAAGAACAATGGAGATGACTCAACATGCAAGTAAGCAATCCTAAATATTACCCAGATGTCAGTGGGAGTTCAGATAAGACATAGATAAAGATGACCCAAACTTTCTTCTGGATTCTGTGGCTATACAGTGATATCTTAATTTTTTCCCTCAAAATTTGGGAATTTGTGTGTGTGTGTATGTGATGTTCTCAGGGTTTTCATTTCTTGCCTCCATTGAATTTTTTATTACTTTTTTCTTTTCTTTCTTTTGAGACAGGGTCTTGTAGCCCAGGCTAGCCTTGACCTCTCAATCCTTGTGCCTTAACCTTCTGAGTGCTGGGTTTATAGGTATGCAAGCCCATGATTGAGTTCTTGATTTCTATTCAGTGTCATCTTGACTTTTATTTCTACTACCTCATCAAGCTAGATGTGGAAATTATTCCTTTCTTCAAATCTCAATCAGCTATCTATCTATCTATCTATTTATCTATCAATCATCTATCTATATATCCATCATCATCATTACTTCAGAATATTTGTCAGACTTTACTCCTGGATCTGGTAAAATACACATGGTTTATATATAAGAAATTGAAAGAATTTAACTTTCTTGAATGTCAGACATAGTTCTCCTTCAAGTTTCTCACCTTTCTGTGTTGCTCAGATGTTTCTCTTTTTCCTTCACACCCCTTTGCTGATCCCATTCTTCCAGTCCACTTACTCTCCAATGGCAGCAATTTTCATTATTCTTGTTTTTGTTTCCTATAGTCTTGCTAATCAATGCCCTAATAATTTTACCTACTGTGCTAGTAACTATCTTGTTTTCAAGGGATGTTATTTATTTTATTTTCTCCTACACAATCAAGACCCCTGTGTGCATTTATGTTTCTAGAAATTTGTACAGAAAGCATAGCAGTCTTCCATAACCCTCACAACATTCCCAATGTCCTGCATTAATACCAGGCACTGGTTACAACTGATGTATAAATATTAATATTTTACTGTGAACCAAACTCCATACTTTACCTTAGGGCTCATTCTTTAAGTTGTACAGTTCTATGGGTTTTGACAAAATCATAATGTTTATCCACTATCACAGTATCATAAAAGTACAGTTTTTTTGCTCTAAAAATGGTTTTTGATTCACTGACTCATTCCTCCCCACTTACCACTGAATCTAGGAAATCATTGGTATTTACCATCTTTTTAGTAGTAGCTATTTGAGAATTCACAAATTTGTGTTCAAATAGTGAAAAGTCCTTTTAGATTAGCTTTTTTCACTTAGTAAAAACTTTTAAATTCCCTCAAAATCCTTCCATGATTTTATAGTTCATTTTTTTCTTCCTTGTTACTGAGTTGCTTTTATTTATTTTAAACATCTTTATTAGCATATATTAGTCATAAAGGGGGTTTTCATTGTGACATTTCCATATATGCTTATAATGTACATTGGTTAGGTTTACCCTCTACATTATTTTTCTTCCTCCTTCCTTCCTACTTCTTAAAACAATTTCAACAGGTTTCATTGTTCTCAGTATATGAAGTACATCAACCACATTCCCTGTCTGTTAACTCTCCCCTCCTCAATATTACTCACCCCTAAACAAGGACCAGTTTTATATTCCTGTCCTTTGTTATAATTAAAGTGTATATTAATTATTTCTTGGTGTTTCACCATGGTATTTCAAACATGAATATATGGTACTTTAATCAGATTGACACCTTCTATTGCTCTCTCTTTCTCTATCTTCCCTATCCCACTATTATTCAACAGCTTTCAGTTCATTTCATTATGCCTTCTTCATACGGGGATGCAATGTATTTTGATATTATTTACTCCCTATCATTCTCTTTTCTTCTCCTGTCTTACCAGTACCCACAAACACTCAAACAGTCCCATAATCACAAATGTGTATATGTGTGTACATATATATCATATATCTATATACATGATATATATATGCTGTATATATGTGTATATATGCCATGATATGTATATGATGTATATATATATGTATATATACACACACACATGTTTATCTTTTAGATCTAGTTTTCATATACAAGTGAAAACATATGATCTTTGTCCTTGCCTGGCTTACTTACTTAACATAATGATTTCTAATTTCATCCATTTATCTGCAAATGACATTTCACTTTTCTTTATGGCTAAAAAATACTCTGTTGTGCATATATCCCACATTTCTTAATCCATTCATCAGTTGTAGGGCATCTGGACAGTTTTCAAAGCTGGGCTATTGTGAATAGTGCTGCAATAAGCATGGGTGTACAAGTGAGTCTGTTGTTCCTGACTTACATTCCTTGGATACATGCCTGAGTAGTATTGCTAGATTGTATGGTAGGTTATTGAAGAACCTCTATACTGCTTTCCATAATGGCTGCACTAATTTACATTCTCCTCAACACAGTACAGGGATCCTTTCCTTTACATCCTCATCAGCATTTGTTGTTTGGGTTTTCAATGAGAGCCATTCTGGAGAGTGAAGTAAAATCTTAATGTCATTTTTATTGGTATTTCATTTATGGTCAGAGCTGTAGAGAATTTCTTCACATATTTATTGGCCATTTTTACTTCTTTTGTGAACTTTCTTTTGGCTTATTTGCTCATTTAAGCAATGGGTTGAAAATTTTTTGGGAGATTAGTGTTTTGAGCTCCCTGTATATTCTGGTTATTAATCCCTTGTCAGATGTTTAGCTGGGACAGATTTTCTTCCATTCTGTAGGTTGCCTCTTCAGTCCAGTGACCATTTGTTTTGCTGTGCAGAAGCTGCTTAGTTTGATGTAGTTCTATTTATCAATTCTTTCTCCTATTTGCTGGGCTGTTAAATTTCTGCTCAGGAAGACATTGCCTATGACTATGTGTTCCAGTGTTTTCCCTACTTTCTTTTGTAGTAATTTAATACTTTCAGGCTATATGGCTAGATATTTTATCTGCTTTGAATTGGTATTAGTACACAGTATAGAGACGTGAATCTAGTTTTAGTCTTCTACAGATGCATACCTAGCTTTTGCAGCAAGATTTGTTGAAAAGGTTGTCTTTTCTCCAATGTATGTTTTGTCAAAAAATCAAATGGCCTTAGCTGCATGGTTTTATTGTTTGGGTCTCCTATTTTGTCCCATTGGTCTTCATGTCTGTTTTTGAGCCAGTACCATGCTGATTTTATTACTATGGCTCTAAAGTATAGTTTGAAGTCAAGTACTGTGATACCTTTAGCATTGCTCTTTTTGCTCAGAATTGCTTTGGCTATTAGAGGTCCATATGAAGTTTAGGATTGATTTTTTTGTCTCAGGGAAGAACATTATTGGAGTTTTGATGGGATTGTATTGAGCATATAGATTGCATTTGTTAATAAATCCATTTTCATAATATCGATTCTGCCAATCCATGAAAATGGGATGCCCTTCCATCTTCTCATATGTTCATTGATTTCTTTGTTCCGTGATTTACACATTTTGCTATATAGGTCTTTTACTTTCTTTGTTAAATTCATTCCTAGACATTTTAAAGTTTTTTGAAGCTATTGTGAATGGTATTGTTTACCTGATTTTTTTTATTACACTGGTCATTGTATATATAAATGCTAGTGATTTTTGAGCATTGATTTTGTATCTGGATACTTTGCTGAATGTGTTTATGAGCTCTAAAAGTTTTTTGGTGGAGTTTTTAGGGTATTTATGTATAAAATTATATCATCTGCAAATAGGGATAACTTGATTTCTTCCTTCCCTATGCCAATCCCTTTCATTTCTTTCTCCTTTCTTATTGCTGTGGTTAGGAATTCCAATACTATATTGAGTAAGAGTAGGGGGAGTGAACATCTTTATTTTGTTCCTGACTTTAGAGAAGATAATTTCAGTTTTTTCCCCAGTTTAGTGAAATGTTGGCTATAGGCTTGTCACATACAGCCTTTGTAATGTTGAAGTATATTCTTTCTATTCCTGGTTTCTACAGAGATTTTATTATGAAAAGATGTTGAATTTTGTCAAAGGCTTTTTTCTGCATCTATTGAAATGATCATGCAGTTTTTGGTCTTTGGTTCTGTTTTTGTGTTGTATTACATTTACTGATTTGTGTATGTTAAACAATCCTTGCATGCCTGTAATGAAAACTACTTGATCATGGTATAATGGTTTAATATCTGTTTATGTGTTGTTGGATTCTATTAGCAAGTATTTTATTGAGAATATTTGCATCTATGCTCATCAGGGATATTGGCCTATATCTTTTTTTTTTAATTGATGCATCTCTATGTGCTCTTGCTATTAGAGTAATACTGGCCTATAGAATGCTTTGGTAGCATTCTTTCTTTTTGTACTTTACAGAATAATTGAAAGAGCATTGGTATTAGTTCTTCTTTAAAAGTCTGATAGAATTCAAAAGTGAATTCATCCTGACCTGGGCTCTTCTCTGTTGGGAGGTTCTTCTTAACTGTCTTAAAATCACTAATTATTATACAACTGTTCAAGTTGTTTATGTCCTCTTAGTTCAATTTTGGTACATGATATGTGTGAATAAATTTGTTAACTTCTTCTTGATTCTCCAGTTTGCTGGAGTGTAGGTTTTCAAAATATTCCCATATGATCTTCAGAATTTTATTGGTGTCTTTTATAAATATCCCCAATTCATCTTTGATATTATTCATTTGGGTTTCCTAATTTCTTATTTTTTAAAAATATTATCATTTTAATATTTATCACATGTGTATACATTGTTTGGGCCACCTTCCCCACCTCCATCACCCTCCCTTTTCTGGTCAGTACTGTTTCCCTCCTCTTGTTCTCCACTTTTGTTGAATGGAAAACATGAGATATTAAGAAAGATATAGCATTTTTGTAGTTTGAGATAAAGATAGCTATACAGAGAGATTCCTAGTGTTGCTTCCATGCACATATGTATTACAATGCATATGGGTTCATCTTTACCAGACCTCTTCCATACTTCCTCGTCACCTTCCCATAGTGGCCTCTGTCAGTTTAAAATTACTATATTTGCTCCTCTACAGTGAGCACATCAACCACATTTAAGATTT